ATTTTTTCTGGTATTCTGAAACGGAAAGTATGTTTTACTGATTTAGTGATGATATTACTTTTTTCAGTAATCGAATTTTTACACTATTACAATTTGTTAAATATATACATTTTTACTTTTTACTATGATACAGAAGTTGTCGAGCTTGTCCTTCAATGTTCAAATTTAGAATTTCGCGTAAAAACAATTGCTGAGTAAGTTCTACTTCTAACTTAATGGGTTTTCTCACACCCTGACTTAGAAGATGATCCTATTTTTGAAATTCAGGGCACTGAGGTTTGATTCTAATCCATGACATAACTTTCTTGTTAGTACCGTTTCAGTTTTTTTGTGTTAAATAAGATAAAATGATGATTTATTCCGTTTAAGTGTTTTTTTTATATTTGCATTTAAATATTCTATCGCATAGTCCAAAAGTTGACTAAATCAGTTCGTTGAGAATGGAGTAGGTTATGGATAAGAAATTAAGGTACATATTTGACAATGTATTATGCATATTGACATTAACTGATTTCACTGACACTCAGCAGCGAAGCAAAGCGCTGTCTAGAGTATGCTTCAGAATGTCATTTAAATAGACAGGCAATTGCTAACAATGGTCATAACAAGATAGTTACCTAGGTGGTTATATACAACCTACAATTTATACAGGGTGTTCCATAATTATTGCGACAAAATAATAGGGGTTGTAGAGGGCATCAAAATAAACAATTTTGCCTTATAAACCCCTGTTCGGAAATATGCCGTTTGGGCTGCAACAAAAAAAAAAAGATCAGTTTCTTGAAACAGGTTACCTACAGTAATTGCTCAAAGTGTCCTCCACCTTGCTCAATACACAGCTGTGCACGATTGTTCAATGATCGGCGAACTCTGTGGCATACCCCCGGTATGTCCTGAACATGTGCGGACGCGGCCATCACTCTTCCCAGTAGCTCTTGTTGGTTGGGAACAGGAGTTTCGTACACTAAAGCTTTCAGATGGCCCCAGAGAAAATAATCCAGTGGGGTCAGGTCGGGTGACCGCGCAGGCCAAGGCACAGGGCCACCTCGGCCTATCCACCTATTTGGAAATTTGTCGTCCAAATACTGCCGCACTTGTAAAGAAAAGTGGGCTGGAGCGCCATCGTGTTGAAACCACATGTGGGCTCTTATGTTCAGTGGCACATTTTCTAATAGTTCCGGTAGCACATGCTGTAAGAATCGACCATAAGCATGCCCATCCAAACGTGGTGGAAGCAAATATGGCCCGATGATATGCTCGTCCACAATGCCTCACCAGATGTTAATTGAAAACTGATGTTGGTCTCTATGGATGGCTATGGCATGAGGGTTTTCTACATCCCAAATGTGACTGTTACGGCTATTAAAATAACCGTCCTTTGTAAAACAGGACTCGTCAGTGAACAAAACGTAGCGACCAAAGTTTGGTTGCCTCAACTCCATAAATCCTTGCAAAAATGGCGTGATGCGGATGAGGACGATCTGGAAACCGTTAGGCGTAGATTCGCGAGGGTCGTCTTCCGTTACCACCAGCTTCTTCCTAAATTAAATGCATATCCGCAAGTTCCGCATACGAAGAACGCTGCATTTTAACACTAAGGTACTGTTATTTACTATCTAGTTTGACGCACCACTCAGATAAATTAAATGAATCGGTGTGGAGAATTTACGATAACAAAAATGTAAACACAGCAGGCTTTTTTACAAACCGGCGAGACCATGAAATGTGCTAGACGAACATTTTGCAGCTGGTGAATTTTTTGTTTCTGCTATGAGCTCTTAAGGTAAAATTAGCGGTAGTGCTCAAACGGCATATTTACGAACAGGGGTTTATAAGGCAAAATTGCATATTTTTATGCCCTCTACAACCCCTATCATTTTGTCGCAATAATTATGGAACACCCTGTATATCGTCTTATCGCTTTCGAACATTTGACTTCATGATTTTTTTTATTATTTATATACAGGTAATTAAAATAATGTTAATTTCATACATTCAATCAGGAGCATAAAGTTCGATCATTTGACACACGTTTGTAGGAAGAGGTATGTATTAAGGGTTGGTGTGTTTAGTGTTGAGTCGCTGAGTGCTAGTGAACGTAACCATCAATGGGACGTTCAGAATTTGGATAGCGTTGATATCAGACGGACGCTGCCAAATAAAGTTTTGAGAATTGAGAACTACCACGAGCAAATTCTTACAAGTACCTCGGTTTTACCCTTGATGAACGCGTTACCTGGCAGAAACATACAGCAGGGTTGAAGCAAAAATTCCAAGCTACGTTTCGGCAACTATATCCCTTATTATGTATACCATCCAAATTAAGTTTGATAAAAAAAAGTCCGACTACACATAATGATTATTAGAACATGGACGGCTGGGTGTTGTTTTTTTGCTAAGACAAACATGCAAAGTCTTAAAGTACTTCATAGCAGGACTTTACGAACAATTTACGATGTCCCATGACATGTCTCAAATGAGACACTACACAGAACCCTTGACATTCCTTACTTTAGGGAGTATGTCAATCTCCAAGAGTACTGACGTTATAGTCAAGCGGAATCGGACAGCAACAGAAGGCCTAAACGGTGGAACAAGTTCGTAAACATTCAAGTCAAAAAGCCTTGTTTTTCCTTGACATTGTCTGGTTTCTGAGCAACCAGGACTGACAGATTCGTTAACGTACATTAGACAATGACTAGTGGGTCAAGCTCCTAAAGATCTCCCAGACAGACAAATGACGAATATTTATCAAATTGAGAGTGACATAAGCGCTGAAGTGCCTTCACATTCTGACTCATGAATTTAGTCGACGATTGCTTTTTCGTTCAATAATCTCCGACCACCCTGTATACCTCTTTTTTGGGTCAGTGGTGTAACTATGGTGCGGTGCACCGAAGCCCTTAGAGTGTACTTATAGGCCCCACAGCAATCCCAGTGTCCCAACCGCTTGAATCTTCGGAACCGAGTGAGTGTTGACGTGACATCAGATAAAACGAATTACTTTATTTTCAGTGACAACTGGCAACCTACAGTACAGTATTGCCGTCCACTTGCACTTACCCGACATTTACGTTCGAATCTGTTATTATCCGCCAAATTCAAGATATCGAAAATATCCGTGTTCACCCACTTTTAACATTTCTATTTTTGATCTGCAGAATTCTTTAAGCGGCCAAAAATTCACTGATAATAAAGACAATTTTTATAATTAAGTATATAATTTCCACAGTATTTTTATGTATTTATCATAATAAATAAATAAAATGCTGTAATGCTAAAGTTATTTACTAAAATTTGTACTAAAATACGCCAGTTTCTTCTTACATGTCCGTAAATGGATGTTTATAATCAGACAAACCCGGGAGTAGCATGTTGTTTATTTGTGTAGCTGACACATGAGCAAAATAGTTAATCTAATCATAAAAATAATAAAATACGTAAGTCATGTAACAGCATGTAGCCAGAGTAGCGAGGCACAGCACAACAATCGCCACGCCAGTTTGAAACCAACTTTAAAGTTTATGTTTTTCATAACGTAATCGATCAAGAAAATAGTAACGCGCGCAAAAATGTAAGGGCATTTAAGATGTTAAAGAAAATTTTGAGTTCTTGCAACCATCTAAATGTCACAATGAGTGTCAAGCAATATTTATTAGTCAATGAGATATTGTTGGGTGTATGACATTACGTCACGAAAAACCATGCCACTCATTTCCGTCGGTCTGTCTGTCCGCTAAGCCTTGACTCGTTTATAACTTGAGAAGTACCGCTAGGATTTCGATGATTTTTTCACACAAGACTGCTACACTAAGCCAGGGACGACAAAATTTCGTAGTTTTTGAAAATCGGTCCAGTGGCGGCCGAAAAAAAGCCTAAAATGAAAAAAATAAAAATTGTTTGTTTCACGTTTCAGAGGATCCTGATAATTTTCTGAACATTTTTTGTAGGAGTTTAAATTTGGGAGTTGGGGGTGGGGGAAGGTATATGGAAAATGTTTGATCTTGGTATATTTATACGCCGGTAATTCTAGGCGCCCATTAGCCATATTTCTCATATCATAGATTTTTTCGTACATTTGCCTTTAAAACTTGAAGAATGGTAGTGAAATGTTTTCGATCCACATACTGTTGCCATCTAGGCTCATCGCCCGGTGAAGCGGTCAGGCTAACTAGTATGTCCATACTGAAGCGCAAAAAACATGGACCGTGCACTAAATGTACGATAACATGCTGCACTGCCCGTAGATGAGGAAAGGGACAACGTTGCCAGATGGACGGTAACTACCGGTACGGCAGGAAAATAATGTATATGAACTAATTGTATGGGCCTGTTTGAATGACTCAATCCATTTGATTTCTCTGTTAATGATGTCCGAAACTGATTTTTTCTCGGAGGATTCAAATTGCGATGAACTTGATTCTAATGACGGGGTTGCGTACGAAGTATAGAGTCAAAATACTTGACGCCATTTTTTATTTTGCCAGTGACAGTCATTTTAGAAAGCCCACCTCCAGTAAATTAAAACTTATTAAAAATCGCCTATCAAAAAAGACCCATAGCAGGTCTCTTACTTTGAATCACAGCTTGCATCCAATATGAATTTAGCTAAACTGGTGAACGTTTTGCTCATTATGTGAAAGCATCGAAAGAGAATTTTAGTTGTTTTTTGTTTAATCTGAAAGTATTTTATAATGCTACCTTCTTTTCTGAATATTTTTTTTATTTAAGATTAGAATATTATTTTTGATCGAGATTTCACAAGAAAATAAATATTTTGCTTATGTTTTGTACTGAAATATCGTATTCTACTCTAAGGGTGGTGATGTAGTTTCCAATGGTTTTTAGTTTTTGCTTAAGGGACGCCAATGAAAAACTAGCGCTTAGGACTCCATGAACCCTAGCTACGCCACTGATTCGGGAACCTTCGACTTCCTTTGAAATGACTTGAGCACATTACCAAAAAATTACTACATATTACTAATTTCATTTGTTTGTCAGAGTCCGCTTCGCAGTGTATTGACATTTGTATTGATGCCGCATCAAATAGAAATAGAGCAATATCCCGGTCGGCTTTGGCTGCGGATAGTTTCAGTGGCATTCAATTGTTTGTTATCGACCCTCAGTATAGGCCGTACTGCCAGTCAGCGGCGCAAACGGTAGTCGGAATCACAGTTGGCGTGGTGCCCGCAGTGTACACCAATCGCGGAAGGTGAAAAAGTCGGGTGATATAAGATCTAGTGACAGTAGTGACTTACCGGTAAGCGATAAGATCGAACACGTGGTCGGTGCGGTGCAGCTAGTGATTTTTTATACTGTTAACAGTATGATTCTATTTGTTGCGCTTTAGTTGGTTTTGTTTTATGAAAGTGCAAGCGGTGTGAAAGTACTACCATACCAAGAAAACATCAATGGTTCGTTGTCAACCAAAATTTGTTAGAACTAATATTTCGTGCATCTACATAATACTTCTACTACAATCACAATCGGTAGGACGATTCCAGAAATGTTTTAACGTAACCTCAAGAGATGATTTTTTCATTTTTCAAGTAATAATCAATGTGAGCCTGAAAGCTATGCGTACAATATGAAAAATCTTGTATTTTTTCGTACCAGAAAATAGAAATTTTTTATTTTCAGATGAGGCATACAAAATTAGAATAATGGCATTACGTAAAAGGTTCCACCTTTAATTAATATTCAAGCCCAGAGCTTTTAAATAGAAAAACGTCTGTCCTCCAAATTTGCATAGGTTAAGTAAGGTCAAGTTTACATATATTTATCTTCAGAATCGCCCAAAGCTTTGTTTTAAGAAAACTTTATGAAAAATTAAAAAACATCCATCATGATACTTGTGTTATAAATTTACCGATTCGTGTGGTATTTGATTATTATACAAAAAATAGTAATTTTGATAGATTTGTTAACCCATAGTGAGTTAAAGTTCTTTATGCTCTTTGATCTAATAAATCAGTACGAATGAATATTGTTCTAGCACATAGAATATATATCTGTTCACTATATATCACGATAAAAGAGCAACGGTTTTAAAGAATCATCAAATCAAATTAGGAAACTTCCATCTTCTAGTAAGTAGTAATATGTATTTAGCCTGTTCTGGTAGTCATTTTAAGAAAATCAAGAGGTTCTAAATGCGAGCCTAAAAGTTTCAAAAATGTCAGCTGCTGAAAACAGCCTTCGTAGTATCTTCTCTTTTAGTTAGTTGAGAACAAAATTTTCTTCAATGTCTTATTATATCTGAAGTACGTATATTTTCTTTCCAAGATATAAGCTTATATAGCATATTCCATTGTAATGTCTTTTACTTTTTCATACAAAAATAATAAATTGTTCTGGTTTTATGGCTTACTGACTGTTTAATCTGATATAACTTGTCCAATAATGTTCTTAAATTGTTTGGGGATGTAACTAACAGTGTTACTTCCTACTGAAACAGACTACATATAAATGTATGCATAACAATAATTGTTAAGTTACCTGAATCCGAATTTTAAACGGCTTTGTATTGTGTAATGAAAATAAAAGGGCAGTATCTAAAAGTTTTGAATAGTTGATGGACGAAACTATGAATATTGTACCGAAAATATGTAAATGCCCACCGTTAAAAAAAGAAAAAAGCATCTGATGGGCAACTGTAAACTTACTTACATAACATAAAAATGAGATAGATTTCAAATCTATAGATTTTATGAAGACAAAGGTTATTCGTATGAATACGCTGCAAACTCCACTTAAGCCAGCAAGTTCAAGCTGTATGCGCGAAAACTACAAAACTAAGCTCCACATCATTTCCTAGACATAAAAATTTATGTTGAATTGTCACTTTGTTCGAATGGACCAAGTTCAGTTATTCTAGAAGATGCATTAAGGACATTAGGAATGTAATTCAAATTTGAATTTTTACCAACTGTCCAGATTTATTTTACCAATTGCTCCTTTTTACTATACCTATTTTTTGTTAGTCACGTTTAAATGAGTATGAAAATAAGCGTGCCTTGGAGACTACAAATTTTTATCACGTATCGGCGAAATGTTTAAAATCCAGATTTCGCTTACCTGTTTTGTTTGTTCTCTAATGTAAGAGAACTCTTAATATTGATATTAAGACATGAATCTCGAAATTTAATTGTGTTGTTTTTCAGTTGATAGAATCATAGAGATCAATCTACCTGGTTTATTTTCATTTGGAAATTGTGTTTGAAGTGATCTAGTGGTATGAGTGATCCTCAGTGGATAGTTAATTTCTTAAGTGTTATGTTATTTGATGTACGAAAAGCTGAACTGTCAATTACCAGTAAACATATGTGCATTTTTCACGAGAATAAGCTATAAGATGAGATCCTTTAACACTTAACCTGCCTTTATAAACCCAGGATTCAAGGTACAATGGTGGTTTTTCTCAGAACTTGGTATTTTGAGTGTTATCCTAATGAACAGATACCTGTTGACAATGGTAAAACGTATTGTGGCCAGCAATGAGTTGACCGCGTTGCTACAGGGAATTTTGGGGCTTTAATGTACTTACCCCAGATACCTTGAAAGTACTCTTGACCACCTCCATGATATCATGGCCAACTTAATCTATTTTTGATTAAGATATCATTCAAAACTACGCCAAAAATCCCTTTGAACTGGAATTAAAAATGAACTTTGCCACCCATAGGCAACCATAACTAAACGTCTTTCAATATTGACGAACTTTGTTACATTCGAACAGTGGTGTTGTTGGGGTAAATAAAAGGTTATGGGATCTCTAATACCGGGATAGTTGTTAGAGACTTGCATATCACAAAAAATGGCCAAATTATTAGGTACTTCATTCATTTGACTACACCCTGTGTTCTGCTGGCTTTTCTTGGTATGGTGCAAGTTACCCATATTATTGGCAATATTATATTACAAGAGATTTTCAAATAGAGCCAGTTTTAATTTGTGTATAATCTCGTCATGAAATCAACCGAAGTAAGAAAAAAGTCCGGCATCTGCAGCTACTCCTACAGCCTCCTATTAGAAGGACAAAAATACGCCCACTGTAGGAAAACCTCTATCAGGTATGAAAACTAACCAGTTTACATGTTTCATTTAAAAATCTCATGGCGAGAAGTTTTACTAGTGGATACACAATCGAACAAATAATATCAAAAACTTCAACCATGAAATAAGTGCTTTTAGAGAATAACAGCTAATAGTGTGGAGATATGTAACATTAAGGCAAAATATAAGTTTTTGACGTGATCGCTCGATATTGTAGGGTTAAAAGATTATGTCAAAAATTTTATTCGATGGTATGTTTTTGAAGAACTGACATCAAAATTCAGTAACACTTAATTATTTCGTTTACTGGTTGATGTATTTCAACACTGTCATGCAATGGTGAATTCAGACAGACTTGCCTTAAGGTGTGGTTCACAAGGGTATTTAGGTAATGTAGTCCATACGTGCGAGTAACTAGGTTGTATAGTTATGAAACACTCAATAGAAAATTTGTTTCGTTATTGGCTCAACGTTTACAATACATATGAGTTCAACATTAGGGTGGAGAACACCAACCAAGAAAGTGTTATACAAAATATAATTTGAAATTGCATACATTCGATGGAGTCAGCCGTACTGAACAGAAGTCCCACTGTCATATAATTTCCACTATATGTTTGATACAGTGGACCTCCGGTAATCCGACAAACATTATGCAGGTCAGTGTCGGACTATCGAATTTGTCGGATTATAGAGCACTACCAAGACCCCCTATAGTCCGGAATTTTTTACAAAAGAGTACCTTGTAATCCGACAAATTACATATCCAATGGTAAGATTATATATGTTATGTATATGTTATGTACTTTGAAGTACAAATCATACATAGTTTATGTATGTCGAATTTAGTAAATTAAATAACAATAGGGAGCTTACGTTTTATTATAAAATTAAGCATAAATGCACATACATATGTACCAAAATGATCAAGAATTATTAATCAAAATCATTAATGAATTTATCAAATTATGAAGCTTGGAAATATTCATCAATTTTTTTTTGTTTAAGGTTGTTATAACTCGAGATCAGAGCTTTGTCCCTCAGTCTTCTCAAAAGTATGTTAAAAGTTCGTTGTAGGATGTGTCATTCTCTTCAGCCCATTGTAAACCTAGCTCAGGCGTTAATTGCGTCTTGTACTGTGACTTGTGGAGCAGTTGCAATCACGTCGTCGTTATTTTCCTGACTGTTTGTTGTATAATTAGAAACCTCTTTTATAATCTCTTCGTCAAACATTTCATGAAAAACATTTTCCTCTTTATCCATTCCACTGCACCAGATTTCCAAATCTTCCGGACTTATCTGTGTTTCAGTAGCGACTTGTTCTATTACTTCCGAAGTTACACTGATTTGTGGAGCGTTGCTAGGAGTGGTGACTATATCTGGCCATAACTTTTTCCAAGACGATTTAATAGTTGATAACGGTAACGCATTCCACGACTGACAAAGAGCAAAAACCAAGTCTTTCATATCAAATTCTTTTAAAGTTTTTTCTATTGGTTGGTCTTTTGATACGGCTCTCAGAAGTAGGTTTTTCTTATAGTCTTGCTTGACAAACTGAATGATATTCTGGTCCATTGGTTGAATCAGTGCAGTGCAATTTGGTGGAAGAAACATCGCAGTGATGCATTTATCCTCAGTTGTTGTTCTTCTTCAGACGGATGACCGGGAGCATTATCAAGAAGCAACAACGCTTTTTGAGGAAAATTATAATCTTTTAACCATTTTCTAACTTCAGGTATGAAGCATTCATCAAACCACTTTTTGAATGCCCGTGGTTTATTAGATTTCCCAATGACCATCATGTTAAGCGCGTGTGTGCCCGCAGCGTTAGCACATGGTAGTATGGTTACACGCTCTTTACTTACTTTTCGTCCAGGTACGGATTTTTCGTTACAAGAAACGAAAAATTTGTTAGGCATCACACGCCAAAAAAGCCCTGATTCATCTGCATTGTACACCTGTGACGGGTCAAGATTTAAATCGTTCACCTATTGCGAAAATCTTAATTTAAAGCGCTCTATGCAGGTGGCATCGTTAGAAAGTTTCTCTCCTGTAATAGTCATTAAACGTATGCCATGACGACTTTTAAAACGTTCTAGCCATCCTTTGCTGGCCACCAAATCATCTCTTTTTGTTATTTCCTTATGAAAAAACTTAGCTTTCATGGCCAACATGGGTCCTGAAATTGGTGCATGCCTATTTCTTTCCTGAAGAAACCACATGTACAAAGCTTCTTCCACTTCAGAATGTTCAGCTTTCTTGAGTGTCTGTCTCTTGCCTGGCCCACAGTCAGTAGTTGACACGAACTTCTTGATCTTCTCGTGGTTTCTTTTAATGTCATAAATTGTAGATCGGCCTACGCCGTATTCACTTGCTAAACTACTGAAAGTTTCATTGCGATTTAAGCGGTCTAAAATATCACATTTTTCTTTAATTGTCAATGTTTTGTGCTTTCGCTTCTGAGTTTGTCATGACATTACTAGGTACTATACTTAATACACAATGAATAAATAGTAAACAATGAACGCACGCTATTCCGTATCGCTATCACAAGTAGTCAATTTCAAAATAAGTAAAACAATGCTTACGCGTCGAGCTCGATAGCGGTGGCGCGTACAAGTTGAACCTGTTCAAACCTGCGTGATTTACATTAGCGAAGTTTGTCAAATACGTATGTATGTAATATTCAAAGACATGTCGAATTACAGGGGGTGCCGGATTAGACAGGGACCGGATTATCGGGGGTCCACTGTAATTGTCACCCTGTTTATGCTGTTTCACAATGGGCAAACTCAAACTGAGAATGCCCGGCCGAAAATTATAAATGATTTTGGTTAGATAAGTCCTACAACGGTCCCTGTTACGTGAAAAACATCCAGTTAGTGTTTCAAAATGTACAAGACGATTGAATCACAATAAACAGTAGAGTTTGTTCGAACCGATATTCTCAATTCCACGAATTTGTTAGATACAACGTTGTAATTGTTTTTATACTTAATGAGGTGAAAATATGCTCATTAATGCATATTGAACAAAACTGTAATTAGTGAATACCCGCTTGTTAGCATTTGTAGATAATTTGTAGGGCCGCTACCGACAAATGAGTGAGGTATAGTTTATCTGAAGTCACTTGAAACACTGTGAAATACCGGGTGCGTTTTATATATCTATATTTAACACGCTCTGTTGCCTCAAAAATCGCCAAATTTCGCAGCAAATATCCCCCGTATAAGATCAAAGGCAGTTTCACCGGTCCACGAGGAGTAAAGCACGCCTATGCGTGGACATAGCCAATGAGAAAGCGTGTATTTCAGAGCTCCGAACAAGTGCAGGTGCACTGCAGGTGGCTACTGAAAATTGAAACAGTTTAGCCAGTGCCGTGTAGCGGTGAATAAACGTGTTTTCTTTAGTCTGTCCGTGTTTTTTCATAGATTTTATTAGTTTGTGTGTTTTTGACTTTTGAATACTCAGTTTACTTGTTGATTTAATTGTTGTGTTGATTGTTCTTGTGTGTCCTAAATATGGCTCTTTGGAGACCTTGGGAAAATGCTCCAAGCCACGAGGAGATGGTTGATGAACCTGTGCAGGCAGAATTCTTTCATAAAGATTTAGAGGAACAGACCCAAAGAGTAATCCTAAATATATATGATTGTCTGAAAAACGAAAATCCAGATTCCTCGCAAAATCAAATTTTAAACAGAATTTGTATCCTGACAAAAATCAGTCGGTCTACCATTTATCGGGTTATAAAAAGGGGAGATGTAGTCAACCATTCCTTCCACAGAAAGCGCATAGGGCAAAAATTAAAAAGAATAGACGTGGGTTTTCAGGAAGATATTCGTCGTATAATATACGGATTTTATAAAGAAAATTTGGTGCTCACGTTGGAAATGATACGGGATAAATTAAAAGATTATCCTGAAGATTTTTATAATTACAAATGCTTAGACTCACTGCACTGTATTGTAAAACTGTGTGGTTTTCAATACAAAAAATTAGATAAAAGAATGGTGATTATGGAGTCGTCTCGAATCGTTGAATTGCGCCAAGAATTTTTGCACAAAGTTAAAATCTATAGAGAGCAGAAAAGAAATCTGATTTACCTGGATGAAACGTGGTATGATACCCATGATGTTGTGCAGTACGGCTGGGTTGACGACAGCAACAAGTGCATTTTAAATGCACCATGCAACCGTGGAAAACGAATCATTACTCTCCATGCTGGCAGTGAAAATGGATTTATACCTAATGCCTTGCTGTTATCTGCCAAAAATATCAAAGAATCATGTGCCGACTATCATGAGGACATGACCTCCGACTTATTTGAAAAGTGGATAGAGCAGCAGTTAATACCAAACATTTCCCCAAATTCAGTGATTATTATGGACAATGCGCCATACCATTCCCGACAGAAAAAATTCTGAATACAGGCACAAAAAAACAAGACATTATTGATTTTATGAAGGATAATGGAATGGAAATACCACAAAAATCAACCAAAGCCAATTATTGGATCTTATTAAAAGACAAAAATTTGAAAAAGAGTATGTTGTTGACAATCTGCTTCAGCAAAATGGCCATGAAGTATTACGTCTACCTCCCTATTACTGCATTTTTAACCCGATTGAGTTGGTCTGGGCTGCTTTAAAAAAAAAAAGTAAGAAAACGTAATCACATCCCTCAATTAAGTGAATCGCTATTGGCCACAATAAGAGATGCAGTATCTCATATTGCTGCCACAGACCTATGGAAGCAGTGTTCTAGGCATATTATTGAAAAAGAAAATGAATATTGTGTTCAGCCTCCTGTAAATCCCGTTGTAATTCCTCTACAAGATGACTCTAGCGACAGCTCCGAAGGCGAGGATGATATATAAATACCTATAATGTAAGTCTTTATATACCTTTTTATATACCTACCTGCTATGTAAATATTTGCCTATGTCAAACGTTGGAATTCTGTAATTTTTCCATTTCTTAACTTTCAGTCAACATAAATTAAACTCCCAATATAAGTATATTTTATCCCAAATCAAAAAAATAAGAAGATAGTAAAATCCATTTATTGTGATATAAAAACATTATTATTATCGTTCTAAATAAATAACCGCACGCCTATGATACGTCATGAAATTACAAAGGACGCGCCGACCAAAGGTTTTTATGCTATTTCAAGTGACTTCAGATAAAGAATACCTTACTTTAACTTCCTAGATTGTGAACGAAAATTAATTTTACTACATTTCGTCAGTCTCTGCTGAATTTCAATTTTTTTTATTTGTTACCACTTAAATTCGGTAACTGCTGATATCTACTGCGGAATCATAGTAGGTAACTTTGGTTTTGTATGCCTAATGAAAATATTTTGGGGTCGCAATTTCCAAAAGTTGTTTGCTGCTATAATTGATTAACGTATTCTATCTAAAGATCGTCAACCATGTATTTAGGTGCCCAAACAGGAATCTAGAAGATCCTAGCGCTATCAACGAGACAGTAGCAGAACACAAAAAAGCATTTATAAATCCACAAAATAATTGTTTGGGTCTACTACTGTCTCTTCGATGACTCTGAGATCTTCAATCCCTTTTTGGCGCGTCTCTAATGCCTAATTTAATTAGGTATCTTCATGCATAGATTAACGTACTCCACCTGAAGATTCCCAATTAAGATTGTCTCCCAAAACTAATTTAAGATGCCAGGACCATCTACGGTACAGTAGCAGAACCAAACTCCGTAACTTTTTCAAAGTACTTATTTTACTACTATCTCATAGATGGTAAAATACGTCAATGCTACTAACGAGCATGTCTTATTTACATCATTCCATTGCGTGAAAACCTGGAGCAATACTCAGATCTCGAAATTTCATTTTTTTCCTCACTACAAGTGCACGCCAGAATCATGTAAAGTATATTTAAACCGCGTGGTGTGAGATTTTATCAAAATATGTATTTTATTGATAAAATCTATCAATCTACAACTGTTGTCTTTGTCTTCCATATAATTAAAAACGAAACTACTCTTAGGAGATCATACACCTTATAAAATATTTCATGAAAATTGAAGTACATGGATTTTATCATTTGCGTCAACTCTGTATTTAGCAACACTATAATACATTTTACAAACGTGTTTTGATATGATTGGTAAAATGTTTATGATACTGCCAAGATCAAACCTACCGTAAGTACATGTATTATTGGTTTAGAGACTCTAATGTGTTTTATTCCGTGCAATTTCAACAGCATATCTGGTCAACAGCCAAATGCATCGAGTATTTACCATTTCCTTATCAAAATAATGATGCAGTCTCATAAACAACAATCAATATTTTTGTTATCGTATTACTATTAGCATTCAGTCTAGTATTAAGCTTCTTTAGATGAGATTGCAAAATCGGTAATAAACTGTAATAATAATAATAATAATGTACTTACACAGATCAGTTTATACTATGTAGTTACACAAAGACATAATATAAAAGTGATAAATGATAAATGCTTAAATAAAAAACAATCATACAGACAAACTCTGAATTGACCATTTCATGAAAAAAATCATCGAGCATTTCGTGCAATGGCCAACTAAATTTAACCATGTCGTTAAATCGTCAACGTTTAACGATTTGGTCATCCACGATTAATCATATCGTAAAATATAAAGTTCAATAAAAATCCAGAATATGTTACAAACCCGTTTCTTGTTATTTAAGTACAACAACTATTTTGAAATTAAAATAAAACAATTATGTTAAAACATTCTTAAATTGCAAAACGTGTCACATACAATTTTTAAATATATCATGTATCACAAATTATTACCTCTGCTTTATTTTGACGTATAACCTAAAAATGAAACACAAGTTACGGTGAGCTTTACATACGTAGAATAATGAACAACACAATATTTTCGCTGGCACATGATTTTGAATTCCAATAAATGAATGATAATGCAATTTAAGAGTAAGGGACAAACCGGTAAAACACGGTCGGCAGGGTTATTACGTAAAAAACCTATAAAAGGTCAAAAAAAAGACAAAATGTCAACTTGTTGCCTAGATAGTTCCTAATGTTCAAATAGTACATTCCGCATTTGCTCGCTATGAGCGCTGTGCGCGTCATAAAAACCGTCCAATAATGGAGTAATGAAAACGACACGATACGCTCAATGACCATGCTGCAAGCTGCCAGTCAGTTCCCCATCATGCTTTGTTGGTTGCAGAATACCGAGATAGTCTGTAAACTATACTCTGGGAAGATGTGTGGTTGAGTAGCAGAGTAGCAATACCTGGATGATTGTGGGTATTGGTCTGCATGTGTATAAAATCATTGATATTTGCTATGTGATAAAATTATTACTGAATATACTGCCCATGAAATATATCTATTAGCTGTTCCAGACGAATTAATTATTTGTGTTGTCCTTTCTGAAGAGAGGTTATGCTCAAAGGTATACATTACGATTTTCAAAAACTTTGAGAAGCATTACGGGAAATCAGCACCACACTAATTAAGCCACATCAAAAAATAGGAATGACGCATCACATACTAAACATTTTCGCACTGCCTCACATCTAAGCGCTGATTTGTATAATCTACTTGACATCGTAAAATAAAATTATTCTGAATTTGTAATAATTTTTTTAAGTTCCTGTATGTACCATATTTTTTCACCTGTTAGTTTTAATATAACTCACCAACTAGGGATTTTCTTTTATCGCTCTCTCTTTTAAAATTCAGCAAATTTGCGTATGTAATATCCAGGTTGAATAAGTAAAAGTGGATGCGCAACTAATCTTTAGTTTTGCATCAACACAAATCGTCAATATCCACCTATGCACTGCCGTTTCGTTTCAGCTACTTTATACAACTTACAGCTTAGACCTCCAATAATACCATCTCTTAAGCAGATATTACATCGCATCAGAGCCAAACATTGATAGCTGAAGCATCATAACGTTTAGGCAACACGTACAGCTACGAAACGAGTATACATCAAGTGTACAACAGCTAGTGTTAAGTTGACATTTCGTAGAAAAACCTACGTAATAACACCAAAAACCTATATCAATATCAAAAACCAACGACATAATGTCACTTTTCAATATACGTAATACCCCTGCGGAACTGCGTTTTGATCGGTATTTGCGTGACTCGCATAGAAGAACTCGAGTACTTTTTCGACGAAGTTTTTGAATCTCACATTCTTCCTCATTTGGCAACCAGTTATTAGAATTTTATTTTATTATTAACCACTCCCGTGTTGTAATGTAAATAAAGCGCTGCTGCTGCCAGCGCCTCTATCCGTCGTTATTGTAAGTATTTTACGATTTGATTAAACATACTTGACCATTCAACGCAGTAGCTGCACGTTTAGTTGATCATATCGTTAAACGATTTGTTATAACTGATCTGGTTAACGTACATCGAGATCTGGCCAATAGATAATGAACATTTCATGAAATGCTCGATTATTAGATGAAATTATTAGTTCTACAATATGGCCACGTCATATACATACCATCTGATACTAATAAAAAACTTTGTTTTGTATATTTGCTCTTTTATATTTTGAGTGCTACCGGTGTATTAGTAGCAAACATTTTGTATAGTTACTACAAATGTAGTTGCAAACATTATATAATTACATAACTAACCAAAAATGTTGATTTTGTGAGATTGACTTAAAAGTCAGTACACATCCATAGCACCACAATCTGTTTACAACTTTTCCGTACAAGCCATAAATCTGTTAATGGACGCGTAATATTCTACAAGGGTCAAAAGGGGCACATAAGATCGAAACAAAACATTTGCATTAAAAAATTTTGATAAATAATACTTTAAGGAATAATCATATGAGGTATGCGTGATATGTAGCCTTTGTTAAGAACTATTAGGTGATATCTGTTAAAAATAATGCCATCCACATTTGAACATGCATATAGGGCGTCCCACGTAGAGCAGCGATTAATTACTCAAAAAGTTTACGTAAGATAGTAATGAAAATTTGGGTTTATAGTATAACCGTTGGGAGCAATTTGGTTAAAATGTTTACCAACTCGCTTGTTTTATATAAGTGATTTAATTGTTTCGATACAATCCACATATATCATCTCATATCTAATTCTCTGTTTTAGAGATCTCAAATTCTGCGTAAAAAAAGACAAATGAATATAATTTCTCTCGTATTTTTGCCTTTGCCATATGATTTGTAATGGGTATCTCATGTAGGGTGACCTAGTTTAGTAGATTTCATTTTGTATAACAAATGCAGGTTTGGCAAAAAAGAATGAAAACTCAGATTTAAAAAACCTAAAAACATTTTTTCAAACAAAAAGTACATTCATAATTTCTTCGTATACAGAAACGTTAAAAATAAGGTTGATTTGTTTCTGAAATTAGTAGTTTCCGAATGTATGGAAATACTGGTTTTTCTTTTGCTTAAATGCTCCATACGGCTTTAACCATAAGATAATAATTTTGATAACTGTCATATGTCAACTTTTTGAGTTATCGGTCACTGTAGCTCGACGTGCGACACCCTGTACGGATACTTTGACTGGCCGTACTTACGTTGTATTATAAATCTAATACTTGTTTTTCTTTGTTTCAGAGTAGCATTTGCAACATTCAAGTTATTGACTCTGTTATTTATTGTGATATTCGTAATATTTCCATTGTCGTATAAATATTCCTATAAGTTACAAAGCTCAGCTGTATTTTTAAACTTCGGTGAGTATATTTTATTTGCCTATATATATATATATATATTTGTTCAAAATTAGGGATTCATCAAGTCAAATAGCTTTATATTTTCATAAACTACATGTCTTGACTTGAAAATAACACTACTTGAAACGTTAATGCTTGACTTGATTTATGTATTGTTCTACTTGAAGTGAAGCATTTTCAAACTACTTGATAGCAAATTATATTTCTGTTCTACTAAAGACCTTGAATGATATTTATTTGTACAACCGATGAGCCGTATTTTGTATTTTAATGCAAATAACCACATAGAAAATCGAGAGTCAGTGCCGGCGTTAGATTAGCGGCGGATCAAGCGCTTTTGGGCCACGCAAATCCATCTATGAAAGGTATACATTCGTATAGCGCGGGCACAAAACAGATACACAAGAATTCTATAAATATAAAAACAAATTTAATCTTTTTCAATAAAAAAACAACTCAACACCTAATTTTACATGTTTTTTACAAAATAGGTAAGTATAATATCCATACATCTTTAGCTTTAATATATCTGTACCCCAAAGCCAGACTATGCTAAGTCCAAAAAGCTGATTTTGCAGGAGATGAGTATAAAGGATTTTTCACTGAATATTTGATTGTAAGATTTTTATAATTGCCTTAATCTTTTTGAAAATTCCGGTAAATTATTTATTTTGGTAGAAAGTATTAATTAGGTAATGTTAAGTTGGGCTTAGCAATTTTACAAAAAATCATGTTTTATAAAAATGATTAAATTCAACTTAAAAACGTACTCTATATATATATAAAAAAAATGACTACATTATACAAGAAAAATGTACATACTTTAATCTATTCAAAAATGAATACAAAACTGATTAGTTATTACTCAGTGTCAGAATTTGTATGATTTAAGTTGGTGTAAAAATCATGAAATCTGCGAGGAACCCATTGCAACAGTTTTTCTAGGTGTTGATTTTTCTTTGTTGAAATTGATTTGGGCCCCTGTCTAATTATGTTTAAAAATTCTGGGACACCAACTGATCGATGGCTTTTTCGATTTAAGTCTACTGTGAAAAAAATTTCGTGTTCGAAATTTGTTTTGTAAAACAAAATGCCTGAATTTACTTTTCTAACTTGTAGATGTACGGTATTTGAAATAATAAATCGGACCCTTCTACAGTTTTTTTGTGAGACAAAAGGCGCTGTTGAACCTTCAAATAGTCCTTTATTTATGAAATCATCTGCTGTCGTATCAAGGGCATTACATTTCATTTTCGTCCCACATAGGCGGATAAGCTGTTGCGAGTCCCAATGCGTTATTATTTTAAACTGACATAATGTCTTTCTTTCTCTTTTATAATGCCATGATCACCGTCAACCTTTAAGTGAGTATGTCCTCGTGCAAGAAATTTCTGGTTAATATGCTCACTTTTAACATCCAGAAGTAGGACATGACAACAAGTGTGTTCCAGTTCTGAGAAGGGCGATTATCAGACGAAAGGGTGAGGATTTTTATATTTTCTGAAATATTCGTTTGTACCCACTTTACTAGGCGGGAAGGAACCTCGTTACTTCCTAGACCTGAAATAGTCTCGTCCCACATTAAACAATTAGCATTTTCTTCCGTAGTATCATAAATTGGTTTTAAGCAATAAAAGCTTTATGAGTTATGTATATCAGGTGTTGGAAGGCATTTCTGGAGATCTGCCATAGCCACCTTATCAATCCGTCTATTACTTCCCGATTTTTCTTTATCTTCCTTTTTCTTCTATATCTAGAATCTATAGAATCTTTCAGGTGAGACTCGTATTGCTATTGAATTGCACAAAGAGCTTCTTGCAGCTGCAGATTAATGTTGTCGGAAATATCGCAAGTGCCGGTATCGGGATTTTTGAAAGCATAATTAAACTCGAAATGGAATGTTTCAGAATACAACCACTCTTTGGATATCTTGTCTGCTGATATATTCGACTCACGGCATTCTTCTAAATAAAGATTGTACATGCGAGAGATATTTAAGAGATTTCCCTAGATCGTTTTTCTTACTTTTGTCACGGCTATAATGTGATTCGTGAGCTGGGCATTTTGATGTGGAGTCTTAAGCCATTTCTAACAATTAATTTTCCGGTGTATGTCTTTCCCTTTTGTCTGGGACTAAAACTCCGCCATCCCTTTTTTAAGAATTGCAGTTTCAACGGTTTGGTGAGAAATATCTAATGTATTTATGAAAAATAATTTAGGGACACGAACGTTCAGATTATCAACTTCAAAAAAATATTGGTTCATATGCTTTCTCTGGCCTGATTTTGTACCTGTCCGTTCTCGAATTTTTTTTATCTGCGTTTCTTCAACGTGTGAAGCAATAAATTGTCTGCTCGCTTCGCAAGTATTTTTGCCACTCCAAAATTGTTTATTAATATCCAGATGTTTTTGTTGGAGAATATTATTTTTGCAAGCATATCTGCTCTTATCAGCATATGTACTTTTTTCATGATCTTTTAATCTTAAACAATAACTAATGCACATATACCTACCGTATATAATTACTTCAGTGACTGAACTTGAAACGCACGCCGCGTCGTTAGAGGCAAACTATGCTAAATCGACTTGGACTATTTTGGCTCGGTTTTGGGGTCGGACTTAGCTTACTTGAAAACTATAATAGCTACCGAAAAACCAAAATATCGCCGTATTTTTCTTAAAGAATTGAACAAAATGACGCTCATAACTCATTTTTTGACTAGTCTGGCTCTGGGGTATAGATATGTATGTTGTATAACAGGCTTAACTTAAAAATAATTGCTCTTATTATGATATAGAAGTGTAGTTCACAATCCGGTCGGTTGTCATTTCCATTTTTTTAATTTTACCACCACTATAAATCCGTTAGGACCCTTAGGTGTCTTAACTCGTGGCTAGCGAAAGAAAAGCTAATTTAGAATTATTCTTTTTTGTATCACTGTGTGTTTTTTTTTTCGACTTGTTAATTAATATTTGTAATACGAACACATTATTTTGTTCAATATGTATTGTTTTCTCTGAAACACAAAGTATTTTGATTGTGTATTTATAATCAACTCGTAGAATTTATATTACAAAAATCGTCAAGTAATATCAGGAACCTGAGAGACAGAAGTAAAAACCACTTGACTTGATATCAGATTGCTGGTATCTGATACTTGACTTGATGTCAATTAGTGAATCTCTATTCAAAATAGATAGTCTAAGATACCGTGTACCACAAGCATATGTAGACGTTGCGCCGATGTAGAGTTCTTTTGTGATAACACTTCAATCACCACAGTCCAAAATGTTGAAATTGGTTCATTCGGCTTCGGCATTCGACCGATATAGCTACCCATACGCCGATATGGGCCGGCCGATATAGGTTAACTTCAATAGCGTTGTATATAATCGTATTAAAAAGTACATTTCACAGGTTTACGTTGATTTTTTTTTATTTCATCAAAGTAATATCAAATTATGAATTTCATTTCCCTCTCCCTCCCAAAGAAATATGTTTTTAGCTTAAGACAAAAATTGAATTATTAATTTCGTCAGTGATTTGATGCAAATTCTGTCGAAATATGAGCTCCATTTCCTTATTATTGACTTTTTTTAGACTGTTAGACTTGCTCCAAAGTGGTTCAAGCAAATGTTATGTCTCACGTAGATGCGTTTGTGACCCATAAGCTTTACGGCCCTGAGCTTTACCCAAGGTTACCGAACCGAAATACAACCAATTGTGCGCGGAAACTGAAGAACGGCCGATATGGCCTGTTTATCGGCCTCTGATATATCGGTATTGGCGAAACTCCTATAACGGTCGATCTCTACCAGCTACTATCAATTTTGTTTGAAATTAATTGGCCAGAACATTCCTTTGAAATTTTTGCGAAAGTAATTTTAAATTGAATTTAGGCCAGTAGTGAATGATTGACCCTATTAATTTTTTCGGTTGCCCAGAAGCGTCATTCAATCAACAACTTTAATTCTATGTTTTAATTGTGTGATTAAAAATTGTATTACTTTGTCATCAAAATATGAAATACAAAATCTACTTTTGGTAGTTCTTCTCTGTCTACTTCAGCTTGTCCAACTCTCATGCCTTTGTTGATTGTTTAGCGCGAAACTAGAGGTGGCTTCAGCGCAAAACGGCCGTTACGCCATTGCTTTATAGGTGGTACATGATAATGCATTGCACAAATTATGTGTTTGACAGCCACAGTTGCTGGCATTTGTGTTTTAATTTTTTATGTAAAAGCATTGATTGACATATTCTACTTAAAATTAGACTGGCTGCCTTAGCCAAATGAGATACCCTAGCGTCATCCATGAAAATTTGTCAGCCATCTTTCTCCTTTCCACAATAATTCAGAATGTACCTTAAAAAGGTTAGTGTCTGTGCTCTATCCAACGATATATGAGCATATAGTTGCAGCGCCATTTACGAGACACTATAACCTCTTCAAAGTAGACTTCTAATTATTGCGGACAGAAGGAAGATAGCTGTGACAAATTGTCACAACAAAGCATACTTAGATAATGCGAACGAAGCAAAACAAAATTATTCGATTTATTTGACCCCAATTCTTCTCTTTGCTTATTCCAGTCCACGCCCCATCAGATGCTAAATACAAAGACCCAGCTAGCTATGGCCTCTATGCTTCAAGAAATTTTTACCTCACACATGATGGCGGCATCACATTGGGGGTATGGCAAGTGCTGCCTGAGAATCTTACTTATTTTGGCAACGATACAAAGGACGATAGGTGAGATCCTAGATTCATAGGTAATTGGAAATAAATTTCTACAGTAGTAATCATTATTAAGTGATTACGATGCTTCCGGATGACCCCAGTGACAACTTTGGATTCACCACAAGAAGTTCAACATATTTATTTCTACTTTGGAATGGATAATTTTGCGCATCACAAAATGAGTTTACAAAATAATTCATCACTGGCATGTACTTCAGTTTATGAGATGAATTGCATCGATATTCCAGACATTATTCTTGGGGCACCTGGAATTGTTCTGTTTGGATTGTCACATCCTGGCACATGGAAGCAAACATTGCTTTTCTCCTACCAACAAACTGTACCATTTCATTCTTATTAGGAATCAAAACTGTGTAGATGGGACGACGTACTAAAGTAGAGTGAATTCTCTCTACTGGGCGATGTTCTCAACAACAGCCTACCCGACTTCAACTCTATTATGGCGTTCTGGCAACTGAGATTACGGATAAAGCAGCCAACTATATCTTTTGCAGTTAGAAGGGCTGAATGTAATTTGGCTCTTTGGTACCTAAAAGTACTGATTCATTTCATAAATGAAATATAGTCAGATCATATGAAATATTTATTATCTACCAAAAATTTCAACACTATTATCTTTCTTGTCACACTTCTTGTATCAAATGAAGCTCTCCTGACGTATTTTCAATATTGTTACCACGCTGAATCGCTTTAAAAAGCACAAAAAAATACGTGGTATTTTTGTCTGGTTGTCTATCAATGAGTTTTTGTAAATATCACCGGAATGGTAACTGCAGTGTTAAAATGACAATTGCTGTCGGGTTACTGTTGTCACCTATTTTCGGTTAGGACGGTCCCTTAGAGATATGGTAATGAAAATAGACAGTACAAGAGTGTGCGTGATTAATTTTATAAACGTTTTTGACTATCTGATTATCTTTCAAATTGCCCTATAACCTATAATTCATTTTCATTCGCAGATATTTTGAAGAGTCATTGGCTAACGGTCAAGACGTCATCATATATCACCATGGTAATGCTGGAACCAGGTTGACACCCCACAGGGTTGAGCTATATGCAGTTCTTAGAAAACATTTCCATGTCATTGCATTTGATTACAGAAGTACGTAAGTGGAATCGGCACCATGTTCAATATTGTTTCTAAAAAAGTACAGCCATCTTTTAAGTCGGTATGTAAACATTGAATAACTTTGAATAAAACTGATTTTTGTATATGAGGTATTTTTATAAAATTTATTGGGACTAGTTTTCAACATCGATCAAGTGGCCACCTTTATTGGCCAAAGCAAAATATGCCCTTTTTGCTGCGTTTTCCATTACTTTTTCGAGAATCTCTGGTGGCATAGCGGTGATTTCGGTACGAATGTTTGACTTGAGCTCTTCGGTGGTCTGAGGCTTGCTGGCGGTATACTTGACTTTTTAAATAGCCCCACAAAAAGGAGTCCGGAGGGCTCAAATCTGGAGATCTGGGTGGAGCCAGTCCATGTAGCCTTTTTTACATCAGACGTTCAGGGAATTTTTGATGTAGAAACTGGACTGTTTGATTTGCAGCGTGGCATCGCGCATCTTCAGGTTGAAAGCAGTAACCATCAGGACCTTTTTCACGTATTTTCTGGTCTGACATAGTGAGCCAAAATCCACCGATATCGATTTCCATCGGCTGCTTTGGTTTTCTTCGAAAGAAATGGCCCAGTGATGGTGAAATGGGCGTCGTCGATCATCAGAATTTGCTTCCAAAAATCAAGTTCAGAGCCAACCATTCGAGCGACTATTTGGCTGTATTCCAAGCGATGTGGACGGTCTGTCGACAATATTTTGTGTATTAACTGCACTTTATATGGAAAAAATTGCAAATCATACTTCAAAATGCGCCGCAAAGTGGTTCCTCTGACGCCAAAATGCTGAGCGCGGTGACGATAGGACACTGTTTGGGTTCTGGGCACCGCTTTCTCTGACGGCTTCAACCAGTTCATGGGAACATCTTGGTCCTTGATGAACGCTATCTTATCTATCGCCTTCTGTCCCGTACTCAACAAAAACCAAACGACGGATAGTGTTGTCAGGCGGTGTCTGTTTGCCACGATAATTTAGACGATATGCACGTGTCGAGTTAGCACAACTGAACGACTATTTTCAATTGTCATTGTCACTATTTCGGCGCATTGTTTCGGTGTAAAGCGATTCATGGTTAAAATTGTAGTTAACTGACGTTTCAAAAACACGTACAACCAAATCAATCGGTTGGTAAATGTCAAAGTCTTTCGATGTTTACATACCGAAATAAATGATGGCGCACCCTGTATGTTTTTTACTATTTGGATGGTTTCAAGCGACCGTATTTCCACGAACAGATCATATGAACTAAAATAATAAGTTGGATTTATTTCTTATAGGTTATGGTGACTCGTCCAGTGTGGATCCATCTGAAGAAAAGCTAGTTATTGACAGTATGTTTATATATGAATGGGTTCATAACAGAACGAAAGGCAATATTTTCATCTGGGGACATTCGCTGGGCACAAGTTTAGCTATACATTCCTTGGCGCGCCTGCAAACAAAAGGCTTAAAACCTGCAGGGGTATTTTTAGAAGCTCCTTTCAATAATATGAAAGAAGAAATTTCAGAGTTTCCTCTAGCTAGGGTAAGTCACCAACATTCATCACGAAAGTTACTGGATTTTATTACCTAGAAGCGAACAATTTTGATTATTAAATACAAAAAAGGCGTCAAGTAAATTGTGTCATCAGTTCATAAGAATTATATGCCGCACAAGTTAACCTCTCTGAGAGTTAGCTACGCACATGTATAACAAACAAATTTAAATGGTTGAGTCAGCCAGACAGGCGCCAATTTATGTAACACTTCCTTTCCGCAAAAAGTCCAGAAAAGATGGAATGCAATGAGGATTCCAACTTTTCTGCACAATCACAGAAAGGGGGTTACCATTAGCTTCCGGTAGCTCAGTCGGTGGCATGAAGACATCTACAGGCGTGTAGCTGTGTGTCGACCATGGCATGGCTAGAGGATAGAAGAACAAACAGAACACAAAAATTTAACAGATTTTATTTAACAAAAAAAGCATTTTCATTACATTAAAATTTTACAGTTTTAAAGAACAAAATAAGTTTTACATCTTTGGCGCTGCTATAAAACTATCAACTTATCTTTCGCTGGTCCATTTTGACTTTACTGAAGCGAGGATGGCCAGGTGCTTGAAGTGGAGGTCCCAGTTATGAGGGATGACCTCACATATAGTGGCTTCAAAACCAGTTGTAGGCGAAGTTGAACTTGAAGGCGTTGGCGCTGCCAAGGCACATGCATGGGTGAAGTGATAGGCCAAGCAATGCAAAGTCAAAGACAAAGGCAAAAGCAAAGTCAAAGACAAAGGGAAAGGGAAAGAGAAAGGGGGTGGCCTCAATCATTTTGTCCTATACGGACACACATTCTACAAAATTCTAGCACATGGTGCTATATGACCTTGTGCTACAGAGAAGAAAATTCTTAGCTCTTGTTCGATCGGCGGCTCGATAACGCTAGAAACTTCCCTGCCCTACTGAACCACACCATTCAGCTAGCCACGCTAGCCATAGGCAATAAGCTACCATACGCAGACAGGATTTTGTGCCCATATGTAGAGGTTCGTAGCGGCCCGTGTCTAATTTTTGAGGGCAAATGTACGGGAAAGTTTATGATGTGTGAAATATGTACTAATAGATGTTGAATCACTGGGGTTGGAAGGTATAAATATACTGACTAAAAAATCGAGATATACCTTTCCACGTATTACAACCCTCAACGCCCATTTTTTACCCTCACAGAAAATTTTTTCAATAACTACGGTGCTCTTTCCTTATGAGCATATAGTAGTAACCTGGTATCAAAAATTCATCAAAACCTGACCGGTACGTTCTGGGTACAAGGTCAAGGGTTAGCGGAAAGACCGACATTTTTTCGAATTTTTTCCTTATTATAATACTTCCTCGCCGCCGGCGAAAGACGTAAAAATACACTAGAACTGAGATAGTTAATATAGGTCATTCGTTTTGAACTAGCGTGAAGGAGATTGGTTCCAGAGATATAAATGAAATATTCAAAGTAATGCTACGGATACTTTGGCAAGATTCTTTATCCAACATTTTAATGCAACAATAAATTAATTTTATTGATTCAGTTTTTTATATCCTTGACAAAAAGTGGGGAGTTTACTTGAAAATTTATGTGATCTAAAAATGACCTTGAAAGTCATCTGGCGTATAAAATTGTTTACCGTTAAAAATTCATGTGATACCCAAATGACCTTGATGGTCACAGTTAACGTCATTGACATACTTGAACACAAAGTTTCTTGCACTTTTTATTTTTGATGACAGAAATAGGGAGTTTTTTACTTTATAAAAGTGTCTTGACCTTCAAATGAGCTTTACATAGTTTAACGTAAAATTTCCCGTTCTTTACATTTCCGGTGTCAAAAGTAGGGGTTTCATTTAAGAAAACTATTTTGACCTTGACTTTCAAATGACCTTGAGGGTCATACTCAAGATTACGTTCAAGATCACCAATGGATGAATATTTTCAAAGCTTACAACTTTGTTCTTCAACATGTTTCTCTATCCACACCATTTGAACACCCTGTATATAAGTGTACAAAAGTTTACGTATTACCGTCTTGTGGTTCAGACGTGAAGAGTTTCTCAACAATTTAAGATTAAACTTTCTGATGGACATGTTTAGAAAAACCTGGATTTCAGCTATTTGTTCTCATTTTACCTTATTTGCAGTTATTCAAAAATCTTCCATGGTTTACTTACACGGTCATCGAGCCAATGCAAGAAAATGGGTTCCTGTTCCAAACAGACAAACACATATGCAAAGTGAATGCTCCAGTTATGATTTTGCATGCAGAAGATGACCATGTGGTACCGTTCAAGTTAGGGAAAAAGGTTCGTATGTGTATAAAATATGGCCTAATTGAATATTATGCTCTTTTAAAGTCCGATTTTCAGTTGCAGATTTAACCTCGCGTTGTTTAACTCTAATTTGGAAATTAACTGGCAGTTATCTGTATTTACATATAAACATATTTTTGTTTTTCAGGTTTTGTTTAAAAACCATAATAGCTGTTGTGACTTTGGTGTTTACAAGGTTCAGGCAAAGTTCAAGCATTGTTTTTATAATACTCGATGTTTGCATCTCTGTCATCAATAGCAAATTATGTCTGTTGTGACAGTCGTAAAAAACCTGGTGTCAGGGCAATTATGATATACCTGGTTCCATTTATCTTGCAGTAAAATTCCATATAGGATACGTTTTACTAACTTTTCTGCACATGGCAAAGCTTGTATAGCCACTCTCAGGCAGAAAAGCTGGACAGTATTGCCATGTCTGCCGAAAGTATGATTCTCCGGAAGTGGGACATCCTAAAACCCGACACTCATATCTTGAATATTTGTGTAATGAAATAAAATACTTAATCTTATATTGTAACTTGGAAATTATGTATGAAAAATAATTTCAGACAAATGTCCACCTCTAGAAGCCGCGCAAACCTGAGCCCTCGTGAATACATTTTCCATCACTTTTTGGTAGGTTTCGGGAGGAATATTTTCTATCGCTTCCGTAATATTAATCTTCAGCTGCTCTAAAATATTTTTTTTGTTCGCATAAACCCTATTTTTCAAAAATCTCCATAAAAAAGGCAGGAGCCATTAAATCCGGTGACCTTGGTGGCCAGTTGATATCACCAAATCAAGAAATTGAACGTCCCGGAAATACTGTTCGCAAAAGATTCATTGTTTTCCTAGCTGTGTGACAAGTTGTCCCGTCCCACTGGAACCACATGTTTTGCAGGTTAAATTGTTGGATTTGAGGAGCCCGAAAGCTTTGCACCATATCGCGGTAGCGTTCGCCAGTGACGGTAAGAGAATTGCCTGCAGCTTCTTCAAAGAAGTACGGTCCAGTGACTCCTCCATACCAAACACCGCACCAGACTGTGACTCGATGAGGATGTAGTGGTCCTTGATGGATGACACGAGGGTTGTCTAATGCCCCGGTACAACAATTCTGCTTATTAACAAATCCGTTGATATCGAAGTAGGCTTCATCCCTCATTATTAGTTGTCGGTAAAAATCGTTATGTTGGGTATTAAGCTGCAATATTTCATGACTGTATTGTCGGCGACTTTCATGGCCACTAGGTTGTAGTTCTTGGGTTAACTGAATTTTGTATGGCCGCAAATGAAAGTCTTTTATAAAATAGTGCATAATGACTTGGAACCAATACCCAGTTCTTAAGAACGATGTCTGGTAGACGTCACAGGGCGCTCCACTACACTTTCACAGACTCTCGATATTTTCCGGAGTACGAACAGTTCGAACACGGCCTGACCTTGGCAAGTCTTTAACTTTACCTGATGTTCAAAGTTCCGCACCAACTGACGAATGGTGTTGACACTGGGCACATTATTTCGACCGATATCTTGGCGTAGCTTCCTACTTCGAAATGGTTTTTACCTGCGTACACGCAGTGATAAGTTGTATTGCGTAATGGTATTTGTTATATTATCCGACCGCTCGCTGTCGCAAAATGTAGCAATAGCTCAGGATGTGTTTATTTTATCATCATCGATGGAAATCAGAGATAATTCTCAAATAATTAAAGCACTAAGTCGCATCAAAATTGAAATAAATAATTCTAATTAAAATGAAAACAAAATATTAAATTATATGTTCGAACAGATTTTCTTATGTAACATACTGGCATCACAATAGATTGCATGACCTTCTGCGTCAGCGTTGCTAGGCAATATGGTGATGACCTTCACGCTTCAGCCTGCTTCTATCTCTTCCTAACAGGTGTTGATGCACACTTCTCGCGCTTTTCTCTAGTACACATTGAACTCAAGCCATCAGACAAATTTAGTTTTCGCTGTATACGTTATACAGGTATTTACAAAGAAACATACGTTACATCTATACCTTTATTACAAATAGGATACTTGCAAATGTGTAACTTATAAATAAATAAATATCGCCCGGACGACAGTGTGCAAGCCATATTGAGAAACAGTGCTTTTTATCTACAAACTGCATTATAAGGCAACTCAATGGACATGTTGATGAAATGTTAAAAATATATCCGTTTTTCAAATGTATCTGTCTCACGTAAGTAGTGGCATTGTTATTTTCAATAAAATGCACAATAATCAATCTAGATATTGTATCAGATTTGGTTCATGCTTCGAGTATATCGCAACTCCTTCTTTTTGATTGAATTTTGTGCCCATAGCTGCAAGTGTTGTGCATGGGCTCAAATCAAAAAATAGACTTTTGTAGCTAAACCAGGTAATTTAAGAAGTATTTCTTGATTTAATATGGGATTTAGGAACCCATTTTACACAAATCGCATACTTTTTATAGTTTGAGAGATATGTTACAACAATTCGACGATATTCATTAGATCGATTACCTCGAAAATGCCTTTTCATTTTTTTTTATCGAAACAGCCGCGCAGGCAGAAGCCTAAATGCCGGAACACCGCGGCTGCTATGATGATCCCAAAGAAATTTTGTTAATACGATTTTTGAACTGCCTAAGGTTAGTAGAACTGGGAAAAGCTTCCTCTTGTAGATTGTTCCACAATCTAGACACCCTCGGGACAAAGGAGCGGTCGTATCGGCCAGTTCTGGATGTACGAAGTTTGAGAAGGTTAGGATGGGACGCCCAAGTCAGGCGGGTCTGTCTGGCAGGCACATCGCGCGGCGGCATCATGGAAGAGAGCTCTGAGGAGCAAAGCCCGTTGGTGTAGCGATAGAAAAGAGCTAGATCGCCGAGGGCCCGCCGGTGCGAAAGAGTCCCGAGACTGTCTGTTAGAGAAGAGTCATCAACCAGTCGGACCGCCCTCCTCTGGACAGCATCGAGCATGGACAATGTAGTCGGGGCGGCAGCACCCCAAATGTGTGAGCAATACTCGAGGCTAGGCCTTATCTGGGCTTTGTATAGAGTGAGAAGGTCATGCGGAGAAAAGTACTTCTTAGCCCTAAATAAATAGCCTAGCTTTTTCCCAGCAGCTGCAGCTATTGACGTGTGTTCGTGCCAGATCAGGTCCTCGGTGATCTGGACTCCGACCAGCCGAAATGAATAGCTCTTTGGTAGAACTCGGCCGTCCATCGAAACTGTATGAGCGCTAGGACGCTTTTTGTTCGTCAAAGTACAGTACTGTGTTTTGGAAGCATTGAACTGTACAAGATTGTTGCGTCCCCAAGCAGTGATAGCCTCCAGGTCTCTCGTCAGATAGGAGCTCACCGCTAGTCTTGCTTCTTGAAGCTCACCGACAGAAATCGGCTTGTCGCTCTGAATTCCTGCATGTAGAGTGCTGTCATCAGCGAAGCTGTGGATTGGGTTGATCGTGCAGGAAAGGAGGTCGTTGATATGTAAGAGAAACAGTGTTGGAGCCAAGACCGATCCCTGGGGAACTCTAGCGTTGACGTTGTGGGATGAACAGGAGAATCCGTCAATTACGACGGATATCTTGCGGCCAGAGATAAAGTCAGCCACCCATCTGCAAAGCTTTTCTGGGAGGCCATAGGACGGAAGTTTGCTTAAGAGGGCAGCGTGCCTCAGCTGATCGAACGCTTTCGTGATGTCAAGAGCAACGACATGAGCCTCACCATGAGACTGGATGAGTTTACTCCACAATTGCGAGACGTAAGCTAGAAGGTCCCCTGTGGATCGTTGGTGCCGGAAACCGTACTGCCTGTCGCTAATCAAGCTGTGACGTTCGAGGTAGTCCAGAAGCTCGCGATTTATGCACCTCTCCATCACTTTACTTATAACAGAAAGCAGAGCTATAGGCCTGTAGTTGTAAGGGTCGGTCTTAGACCCTTTTTTGGGAAGGGCTGGACATGAGCAAATTTCCAGTTTTCTGGGAAGGTGCCGGATTCATAAGATATCTGGAAGAGACGCGAAAGAACTGGAGCAAGCTCCGCTGCACATCTCTTCAGTACGATGGCAGGAATCAAGTCCGGACCAGAAGCTTTGTTGATGTCGAGCGACAAGAGCACTCGTCTTACGGTCTTATGCCTGAATGTTCCCTCCCGCATAGTGTGGGGAACCCTTTGAATTGACGGCACTTGGGCGTTGGTGGGGACGTTCATGGTGGAGTTGGCAGCAAAGATCTTGGCTAGCACTTCCGCCTTGGCCTTTGAGTCGAATACAATAGTTCCATACTGACACGTAAGTGGTGGGAGGCTACTGTGTGAGAAGTTCTTTTCAATCTGCTTGGCCAGCGTCCAGAAAGACGCGACATTACCCTGTGCCTAACTTTTATATCGTGCTGGTTTTTGGCATTGCGAACCGTTTCGTTATATTTGTTTCTGGACTCGACGTCGGCTTGTCTGTTCTCTACAGTGGGGTTTTGTAAGTAGGTTCTGTGTGCCTTGATCTTCTGCTGGCGAGCAGTGTCACACGATTTGTTAAACCAGCCGTTGGACCCTGGTTTAGGAGCTTTCACTGTGTGAGGGATGTATTCCTCCATTCCGACGTGGATAATTTCGGTTATCGAAGAACAGACAGTCGACGCATCCGCGTCAGTGAAACAGACATCTCTCCAAGGAAAGCTAGAGAAGAAGTCTCTGAGCCCCTCCCAGTCGGCATGTCCGTAATGCCAAGTTTTGCGGCCTGTACGAGTTTTTGCTGCCACAGCGGGTTCTGACCGAAACCTAACCTCCACAACACCGTGGTCTGAGTTACCCAGGGGGGACAGGACAGCAGTGCTGTAAGGGACAGGATGCGTGGTCAGAAAGAGATCCAGCAGGCTACTGGCGTATGACGAGACGCGGGGGAAAAAGTAGGCCTCGTCACCAGCTGGGTCAGCCCTTGAGTAAGAGCGAACGCTTCTGCTGCACGACCTGCTGCATCGGTCTTATTTGAGCCCAACCAAAGCTCATTATGGGCTTTGAAATCACCGAGAAGAACTATCTCTGAAGCGGGGTGATTGATGTTCAGGAAGTCGATCTGGACGGCGAGGTATTCCAGTAGGTCATCCCAGTTATGGTTCGAGAGAGAGCGATAAAGGCAGCAAATAAATTTGGATGATGTTTTGGAGTTGAGGCGAAGCCACATAATGTCCTTCCGGTCTGATTCCAAAGAAAGATCCCTGGAGAGAGATCCCCCGTTCTTTCTCAGATTGGAGTGCACCTCGTAGTTTGGGAAGTCGAGATGGTTAATCGTGCAGTCTCTGAGATTTTTGTCTCCGCCAAGAAAAGCACGGCGGGACGATTGGATTACAGGTAGTGATGAACAGCATCAATGTTGCTGTTAATCCCGCAGATGTTCGAAAAACAAATTTTATCTTCGATGTTGTTCCCTCGAGCCCACCCTCCACCCGGACATTCCGAGAGTGGAGTGAATTTACGTCCGGAGTTCTTAGTGCTCGAGGGATCCATCATCATTAATTTCTTTGTTTTGGAAGATAACCGACTGCATAGCTTAGGTGTGGAAACATGCGGACATTTATAAGACACCCTGGGAAAAGCTAGCGGGTGTTACCGCCTCGGTCGACTAGTCCTTGTCTACCACCTTCTTTTTACGTGTTAGTGATATTAAATAGACCTAAAGTGGCCCGTTGGCGGACTTGTACCGCCACCCGGCAATCGGTACTGAGGTATTCCTTAACGCGTGTACAATCACTTGGACGGGAAGAAGTTGTATACTGGATACAACAACTTCCGGAACAAGCATTTGCCACGGCCCTCGCTCAGTAGGGAGATCATTGGTCAGCTTTGTGCCCTACGCGCAATTTTGTGCTCCTGGGCCTAAATAACACTAAACTAAATGACACTACGTTTGTTGCTGACCTACAGACAAAATGCGGACCTGTCAAAGTGACGTGTTTGAAAATGATCTATTATACAGTACATCTAAAGTATATATATATATATACATATATATATATATATATATAACTAATACCAAAAAAATTTAGGATCTAAATGCTTATGGCTTCTAGCCAAATGCCAATCTTCAAAAAAAAAATACTTTTAATAGAAACCAGCCTTGCTAAACGGGTGGCTCTGTCATTACTGGTATTCCTTATAAGTTATTCATATGCTATACGCCTTGCGGAAATTAATGTACAGCCCTTTTTTCCAGCTTTACCAAGAAGGTACTAAATGTAGAAACGCGGAGCAGGGGCCATTACTATTCAAGGCGTTTGACGGAAACCACGGATATGACCATAAGTACATCTGTAGAGCTCCAGAAATACATGATATAATCAGGTAATTATCACTCTGCTTCACAACATATGCCCGACACATTGTCTGACATCTGTCACTTATCCTACTTTGACGCGCAACGTGTATCATCAAAAAATTGTAGTAACGGAAACGTACATTGAAAAAACAGCAAGATTTAAATTTATTTTTCTTTTCAGGAATTTCACAACGATCGCCTTGAAGGACAAAACGAAGGTTCTTTGAATACTGTGGGGTATGATCCAATGGATAGACTTGTTTTTAAAAGTCTGCATGATATGGAAGGCGTATATGGACTATTTGCAAAGTTGTGATTGATCGAACTGATATATTTAAATGCTAGTGGCCAGAAATCCAAATATAATATGTAGGAGAGATTGAACCCTATACGTATTTATTTATTCTTTGTTGCGCTGATTGCTGTATTTATGAACTGTGATCTTTTTAAAGAATGTGTTGTTAATGTATATGTTACATATGAAATCTTGTATAAGCTTCGAATCTCAACTCTCAATGTAGTTGTCAATATAGGCAATATAAATAGTTTGTTTTGCTATCTGCTTGCAAGTCCTGGTCTTTCAATCGCAGGTTAACCCTGACTTTGCTAATGGCTGAAAGTTAACTTCCAAAAGGCATTTTTAATTGTGAGATTAGAGAAATTCTGACCAGATATTAGTTTTACAGTTGACTCTTAACTGGCACATAACATAGGATTTAAATACATCATCTCTAGTAGTTGTCATACAACCTAGAACGGGAGCAGTCGATGACGCCAGGTGGATTAAAGAGTCAAGTATTTCTCTAAATCAGTTAACTTTACAAGCTTAATATGGTAACAACTTGACCGGGAGCAATCGATGCCGACGGGGAATTAACGTATACTGGTCGGTCAAGGGTGCAATCTCTGTCAGTCAGCATGGATTCATGAGCGGCAGATCTACGGTTACCAACTTAACCCTGATTAATCAGTATATCTCCCAAATATTAGACACTCGAAGGCAAGTTGATGTAACGTATACAGATATCCAGAAGGCATTTGATCAAGTTGATCATTACGTACTTCTGGATAAGCTTAGGACTGTCGGTCTATCCGAGGGACTGTTGTCGCTCATGAGTTCATACTTGATGGACAGAATGTTGTTTGTTGAATGTGGTGATTATAGGTCAAATTATTATCAGGCCACATCCGGGGTGCCTGAAGGATCGAATCTAGGCCCATTATTGTTCCTGATCTTTATCAACGATATGTCTCTTGAGCTCAAGTGTTTGCTGTTTTTTGCTGTTAAGATGTAGGCATCGGTCGAGTCAATTGGTGATTACATCATGCTGCAGGATAATTTAGACTTAATTTCTTCATGGTGTTCGCGAAACTCTCTTAGTTTCAATGTTTAAATGTAAAGTTGTGATACAAGAAAGGCTAATTATTTAATATATGATGACTATAACATCAGCGGTCAGGTTCTAGACAGATGCTACTCTTTTAAGGACCTTGGAGTAAGCTTCGATAGCAGGCTAATGTTTCTGTATCAGGAACTGGAAAGGGTTCTCCAATGTCAGTACTTTAATGACTTTGTTCTTTACTTTTGTCAGAAGTAGGCTGGAATATGCCTGATGTCTCCAATATTACCAAAATTCAGTTTCAATGATTGAAGGCATTTAATGTAAGGCTATTAAGTATTTTTACCTGAAATGTACTGGTTCTTATATAGAAAGAGGTTTCTGTCATCATATACTTTTGAATTTTTTCGATTTGGATTCACTATCAATTAGACGTAATATCTTTGCCTTCTCGTTTTTATATGACCTTATTCACAATCAAATTCTCTGTCCGAATTTACTTGAAAAAATATATTTCCGCATTCCAAGGCTTGAAAGTCTTCAACAATCAGCATTTTATTGTCAAGCAGGCCGGACGAACGTAATGTTGAAATCGCCAATTCAGGTAATGTGCAGTCTGATGAACTCTTATTTGTGATCTGTGCGATATTTCAACGAGTGCGCAATTCCATGAGACGGAGGGCGGAAGCATGCATACTAAGTGAAGGGGCCATTTTCAACAATTTTTGTAATCATTTTATTGCTTTTAATGTTATGTTTACGTTGTCAGTTGTTGTTGTTCATTACCCCTAATGTGTTTAATTTTTCCAATTAAATTAATAATTTTGCAAGTTAGACAATAGAACGGTTTTTATTTTTTTTACGTAAAAATGGCGCATCGAAGGAAAGCAACTCGAGAGAGATCATTTGTTTTAAATTGAATGGGAAATTCAAAAATAATTTTTATTTGGCAAAAAACCATTGCCATACCATTTTTTTCTTAAAAAATATCGAAGTCAATACGCACGCCACTGTTAAAGCTAAAAATTATTTTTGCATTGAAAAATATGTAACTTTATCAACTTTCAATACGTACTAAATATCAGTGAAATATCTGAAGCGGTTCTGAAAATATTAATTTCCATTTTTTTTCTAAAACTTCAGCACCCCGAGTTTTTGTAAGGAAACATTTTTGGACCATAGTTTATAAATCAACATTAATTTTTCATGTAGATTCACACCCTTAAATATTCGCATATCATTAAGGAACACCCTGTATATTATAATTATGCTGAACTTATATGCCCAGAGTATAATGTTTTTAGATGCGATCGAGACTTTGAAACTACTGATGCCATCAGAGGTGGAGGTGTGCTATTGGCTACCCGGAAGGCGTATAAAGTGAAACGTCTGGATTTCAACTTTACAAACTCACTTTCTGCAATTGATATCGTTGGGGTCAAGGTCCACTTGCCTCGGTCAGTCGTTTCCATTGCCCTAACTTGTCAATTGCTACATATGAATCTCTGATAGAACAACTGTTTTCGTTGGACTATCTCAACACTGACAATGTTATTTTCCTAGGGGATTTCAATATACCCTCATACATTAATTACATCAAGGATAACAATTACAGCAACACCTATATATCGGCACTAAATAATCTGATCAATTTTCTGAATATGTCTCAACACAACTTTGTCCAAAACTCAAACAACCGGATTCTAGATTTAGTATTTAGTAAAAATGCATTGAAGGTGAACTCGGCGTCAGATATTTTACTTCCAGTTGATAGCTATCATCCCCCGCTTGATATATTTTTTTCTATGGAAGATAAATTCGACAAATTTGACGTTAATGCAAGCCCTGAGTACAATTATAAAAGAGCTAACATGCACACATTGTATAACGATATCGCTGCTCTAGACTTCACTCCTCTATATTCCCTTGGTAGCATCACCGAAGCGTGTGATCAGTTCTACGAAATACTATTCTCGGCAATCAATCGGAATGTACCCCGAACACTTCTTACCCTGCTTGGTTCAACAATACTATTATTTCTAAAATCAAGAGAAAGCGAAGGCTATGGAAACGGTGTAAAAGAACTTGTAATCCTGTTGACTGCGACGCTTTTCGAAATCTTCGAAGAAACATAAAAATTAGCATTGATTTCAAAGGAATGCCGCTAAAATTGAACAGGGCATAGCTACTAACCCTCAAATTTTTTGGTGTTTTATTGATTCTTTGAGAAATACCTCTCGCGAGGGTTGACCCATCAATTCAAGTTTTTCAAATCTTATCTTACAAACAGATGCTTGAAAGTCGAATACAGGGGCTTCACCTCCACTCAGATTATACCTTCTTCTGGCATACCTCAAGGGTCTGCTCTGCTTTTCCAAATTTTCATTGATGACGTCGTTGGGGAGCTACACAGTAGCTGCCTTCTATATGCAGATGACTTGAAGATTTTTTGTAAAATTGAAACCATGGACGACTGTAATATATTGCAAAACGACTTGAGCAACCTAAATAAGTGGTGTCACCGTAACAAGCTGTACCTTAATGCTGATAAATGCTACACTATGTCTATTACGCGCAAACTTGTTCCAATCAGATTCATATATAACACTGATATTTCGCAACTTAACATGTGTGAAGAGTTTCATGACTTAGGTATATCCTTTTGATACCAAACTTACATTTGTTTCGCATGTTGATGCTGTTGTTAGCAAGGCCTATAAAAGTTTGGGCTTCATTATCAGAAATTGTAGGTATTTCAATAATGTGCATACCATGATCTCGTTATATAATTCATTTATTCGATCCAAAATTGAATACTGCTCTATAATATGGTATCCTGTTCATGAAGTTAACTCGAATAAAATTGAACGTATTCAGAGGCGGTTTGTGAAATATTTGTGGCGCAAGGAAGATGGTACGTATCCAGAAGTTGGCTTCAGGCATGATGTATTACTTAGCAGATATAACCGCTGTAACTTGGAGAAGCGCAGAAACTACGCTGCTTGTGTATTTTTATATAAAATGCTTAATAATGCCATAGATTGTGAATATTTACTTGGTAAGATTCTTATTCATGTACCTAATGCTAAGACGCGATCCAATTCAAAATACTTTTACTTAAACGTAGGTAGAACCAATGCGTTGCTTTCCTGTCCGATATATGTAGTATGTAACTATGAACGTGCAAGAAACGCAGTAGATTTGTTCTTTTGTAATTTGCGTAGCTTAAAAAGATTTTACATAACAGTAGGTTGTCATTTGGCAATTTTAAGTTATTTTTGAACAATTTTGTCTTAAAATTGATTCCTGTGTTCCTATCCGTTAAATGGTGTAATAAACCGTTCGGATAGTGTATATAATAGTAAATAAATAAATAATATGGTAGTTAACTGCCAGGCAATGATAACTGAAGATTGTGAATCTGCCCTTTATAGGGCTGGTTCATAATCTTATTATGGTTTTGTTTCGTAAGTGAAATAAAAAATAGTTTATAGAACGGCAGTTTAATTTAAATAAAAAGTAATTATTCTCTACGTAGAAGTAAAAAAAAAATTAATTTACAACGAGATCTCTTCGGGATCACTGAATGCTCCTATCCTCTTATGCACATCCACGGATCGCACTGCAAAGTAGTATTTGTTCTTGTCGGCGAACTGGGTAAGTGTGCATGCCATTGGTAAGGCAAGAGCTTTCACGTCACCAACCTACAAGAAAGAAACAAATTTATTATGCAGTATGCTCAGGTGTATTACACAATTAGAGGACCATGGGAAGCGGCAGCAGCTTAGTGGCATAGCACTTATGCACAAGATATGTAACTGTAATGGCTTCTTATTGCCTGTTCATATTCTTTTTCATTCAACTTTGAGCAAAGAATGGTGATATTAAGAGCAGACACTGTGGAACGTCTTACGTATAATACGATAAAAACTAGCGTTTTTACGTATTTTGATACTAAACAGAAAGCTTGCCGAGTTTGCTGTGTATTTTAAACCTAAATAGCAAGCATGTCCAGTTTGCTGTTTAGCATCAAAATACTAGGAATTGACTAGTTTTTAACTCATCAGTATGCGAGATCTATGATTTGTCTGTCCTTGGTTTGCCGATTCGCTCATAGACGACTCTGCATATGCCGAGGCGTGTTGCTAAACTGCCATAAAATCTTTGTAAATCGCTATTTACAGAGTATCCCAGACGTCGACGTTAAGCCAAGGATAGGCCAAGTCATAATAGTTATCAGAAAAATAAACAAATCTAAGTCGTGTACTTTTCAAATTATAGGCTTTAAAAAAATCGGAAAAAGCTACACCCTGTGGTTATCTTTGAGTTCCTATTACTATAAATTTCAATTTTTTCTCAGACGGAGTGACGGACAGTGCCATTCTACGTAGTGACAGCAAGACAGTAACGCCACTTAATTCATAATTGTGTAGTGCGACCATGTCTATGTACACCATACAAGAATACGCCAATATGCACCTCATTCGTGGGGAATGAAGATGCTACGCGTTATCGTGAGAGGTTCCCAAATTCTCCTCGTCATCTCGATCACCGAGTTTTTGTGAATGTGCACGGTTTACTCTCAAATGGACGATTCCCAAATGAAGCACAGGTGGGGGAGTAATTTCATTTCCTTCAAAGCGTCGTATTACATGCGAACAAAGAAGACCCGAGTACTTCAGTACGTCAAATAGAAGCAAATCGGGAGTGCCCAACAATACAGCCCACCGAATCTTGCGAAGGGAAGAGCTCCACTCGTACACGTACAGCGAGTACAATCTCTACAACCAGGGGATTATCTTCCAAGAGTTGAGTTTTGTCAAACAATGTTACCGAGACACCGGGAAGATCCGCGATTTTTAGAGAATATTGGGAATTATTAGTCGACATTCAAAAAAGATGATTAGATGAATCTAAACAACTTACACGAGCGATATGTAGAAAATCTACATTTGACGAGGCAAGATAGATCACAGTATCGGTTTAAAGTAAACATGAGGACCGAGCTTCTAAATGGGAGAATCATTATTCCCTTAGAGCTAGCACAGTTCTTGAACGGCGAAATTTATTCAGACTTTTTACAAAATCATTTACCAAATTCACTGGTAGACGTACCACTAAACATTTACAGAGACATGTGGTACCAGCAAGCGACTTTGCCCGTTCAGTTAGAGAATATCTTGATGCGGAATACCCGAGCAGATAGATAGGGGGCTCTGGTACAATTTCGTGGCCAGCCTGTTGACCTGACAAATCCAGATTTACAGGCTTCTCTCGCGACAAGTGTGATTTATAAGTTCATTGAATGAAAAATGTATTTTGTAGGCCGCAGCCATTCCCATTTACGTGTATACTCTCTGTGGTGCACCCATTGTGTATTTATTACTCGTGATAACGAGCTGTAGACGCGTCTCAAAAATGGAAAACTTTTATTGATGATAATTACAAATATTATGGCACTTATCTAGCTCCAATAGAAGTAGCCAGCAATACACAGCAATATTTTTAGTATGGCCTGGCTACATAAGCTAGAAATGTTTTGCTGGCAGATTGCAAGTTTATCTAATATTGTATTTCTTCTTACACATCTGCAAAATCATCGTACGGTGATGAAGCCGTAGGTTACGTCCAACTTAAACGACACGGTAAAATCTGCACAGTAAAATGTGTCCCGAACATAAGGTGTTCTCCAAGCAACACAGTGTTGAGTACATTTGTTTCCCTGGGCACTCTATCCGCAGTCTTCCTGGGATCTTTATCGATCTGGTTTTACATTCTCGGACGATACAATAATGATAATTACTGTATTTTACATGTAGATTAGTAGAAGTCATGTTCATATGTTTAAAAGTTTGCGTTACTTGCTGCCAGCTGCTGTTTACAGATGGTTTGACGTCAGAGCACATAATATGGTGGACAGCGTTTTCGCCAGTCTGACAAAAATAAATTTTTAAAATTTTACGGTCTTTTAGGTCTGGAAAAAATATAGTATTAATTTTTTTGGTCTAATAGAACAAATGTTAACTATTTACGACCTACTTAAAAAGTGTTAAAACTAGCCTATTTACGTCGTCACAGCCTTGTTACCAAGCAGGATCTCAATCATGACCATTGTCTAATGTATTCTACCAAAAAATTATCTAAGATAAAATGAGATAATTAGCGCCATCTATTAGAATGTATCCCAGCTGTTTATTTGCCATATACATATACATTGAAAAGATTAGTGTCCCATTGATAGCGCTCGTGCTACCTATATTTTTGTAAATACTCGTAGGCAGCGCCATCTATGAGACTCTAACCTTTCAAAAGTATATGTAGTAAATAGAGAAACAGCTGTGGTCAATTCTCATAGATGACGCTACTGTATCTCATTTTATCTCGGAATTTTTTTTGGGCGATAAAGTGATAAAACCCATTTGTGAAGAAAATTGTTTATTCGAAAACATAAAATCAACCCTCCAAGGAAAAATCACCCCCCAACCTCCTTTGTAACTGTTTCTAAAATTTGGTATTCGCAGACTTTCTCACTGACGGAAAACGAAATCCCATAACCTGCGGCAACAGTTCGAGAGATGGCAACGCTGACGCCTAAATTCGATGTTTGACGTCTATAGTTTGTTGTCTGCGTAAGTGGTTGGCGGCGCTACAGTACGTAAGGTATTTTTCACGAATATCTATCACGGTAGACCAACAGCTGATTATCTAGTGATTTTTCAAAACTCCCCATATCGACAGAGGTGACACATAATGCCAAGAGATCTGTGAACGCAAGGTAGACAGATCCGTATCTTGTTGTAGTTTTTTGTACGATACAGATTAATTGTTACTAATGATCATAACTGCATTTCAAGCCAGATAGGAATAAAATAAGATACTTAAACAGTTTTTTACTAAGTTAATCATCTCTACTTTTTAGAAGTTGAAACGTTATGACTTTAAGAGGCAATGAAACAGCCATACAATTAATTCAGAATGTGTGGCTGTATATATATGTCCGAATTGATAAAGGTTCGATTCCCTGAATTAGGTCTGAACATTACTCAGATAATTCTAACAAGTTAGAAATTAAAAAAATGTAGGTAAAATATACAACTATATAATTAATTTTTATGATATATTCAGCACATACTTCACCTGTATTTGAATTACGTTACACTGACGACGGACAATAATCCAGAACAACGTGTCTATATTATTTTTACAGCTTCTGGAAAGGACAACACAGCCTGGTCTATTGACTTACATTGTAATCAGTAAATCCCAGATGTACAATAATAATTTCATTTTTATATCTGTACTTCGTACATTTTGTCACATTTTTGTCACAGATATGTGAACAACAGCTCTGAATACGGTCATGAAATTCATTATTGCCTACATTACAGACTAATACAAAGATGTCGCGCTTGTGGCCAGCTGTTCACGTCGGTAGACCTCAAAACGTAATGGATACTCAAGAAAAATACCATATGCGAGTCAATAGAAATTGACGGTTATCATCTTACTACAAAGTACGATGGGTCGCGCACCTGATCTTCCAAACATTAAATGTTATCCAGAACATGTGCATGGAAGCCACTTGCTTCAAATTGTAAAATGTACCAAAATGTTTACATAAGCATGGAGGGGCAAGAGATTTACATACTTTCAACAAGGAGGGGGGAGAATATTTGAAAAAAATCTGCTTACGTAATACTTCAAGGGCTCCAGATAACCCACGAACGCACATCATTCCTCGTATTCGCTGGTAGCGAAGTGATATTAGGGGTAACTGAATCGATCACGCGCATGCAGTGCACAAAACAGGAACTTCGTCAGTCAGATAGTGCAATATAGGGGTGGTATCAGTAGCAATGGTGCAACTATTTCGCTGTCAACGTTTGTCAGATGTCCTTAGCCTCAAATCGATTAAATGTAAGGTGGCGCTATCATGGCGCACCCAGCAAATAGGAACTGAGAACATTTTCAACAAAAATCGACTGATCTATCGATTATTTTCTATGGAAGTATGTAAAAAACAGACCGTAGACGCTTTGACAACCAACTCTTGTTGCATTATTACAAATATACACCCCGACTACTCCAAAAGGTGAATGGAACCTGATTTCCCTAGCGAGTCGTGGAGCCCAGATACCCGAAATTAGTAATGACATGATGTTAGTTTAATAACGCAAATGTAGCCTCTAACTACACTATGTCATGGTATAAACTATGTCAAAGAAAATTCTGAATACTTGCCTTTCGCCACATTTCTGTACTGGGCGGAGCGCTCGTCTCCTGGTAGGCAAAAAGCTGATAACTGGCGATGCTCTCGTAAAGATCCAGGTTATAGGGCATTCTCCACTGAAGAATGATCCCCTTATCCGTTTTCCGGATGCTCAGATGAGGTTTGGGCAGGACAGGTTTGAAACCGGAATTAAGCGGCGTCGATGGAGGCAAAGGCAAGGGGGCGGGGTGTTTCCGAATTGCCAGTTGCTTCACTTGCATCGTACCGGGCGATTTTGAAGAGATCATAGACACTGTCGGGCCATTCAGTGAAGACGCTGAAAAATACACAAAAATGTTTCATATAAAGATATAAAAAACAATCTAAGCACTATGGAGAAAATGGAACGCAGAACTTTCTAAAGGTATCCGCGTCCATAGATCAGCATCCAATTTTGTAGTTTTTAAATTGCGATCAGCGATAATCTTATTAAAATGTAAATACTGTATAGAATTCGTCCGATGTGAAGCACTCGTGCTGAACAACATTCGAAGTAATCTAAAACCAGGTTAGTGCGAAATGTGCGGATCAGTGGACGCTGAACGTGCACCATAATGGTAAATTGATAAATGCTAAATTTATATATTATGCTAAACTTACTCAAGACTTGTTGAGTGGGCAGGTTGACCAGGGTTAGGGTCTTTTGATTGCCGTTTGCTGTAGATGAGGGCTGTACAACATACATCAACTGTGTTGTTGAACCCGTACTTACAGGTATTGCTATCCCATTCTTCACCTAGAAAAAATATTTAAAAATGTGTCACCCTACAAGTTGCATAAGTATAACTGAGGTTATTGAATAATTCAATGGTTCGTTTACTAGCACTCAGCAGCTAAATCAAAGAGTTGTGGAGAACATACTTTATCAAGTTTAATTAAATTATAGTCAGCCCATTTTGATGATATTTAGCAGCTAAGCTCAACCAGTGTTTTGTGTCAGTCAGTAATATTACATACAAAAGTTGTAACATAGCTAATGATCAAGGATAATAAATGGGACTGATTTTGACATCAAAAGGTCTTTTTTAAGGTGAAGGTGGCATTTTTGTAACATCAACAATCTATGTGTACAGTGACAAGCTTTATCCTTACTGGTCTACAATGGTTACTCAAGAACATTTCTCGTAATGGGGGTGACTGCCCCAGATTTGGAAAGCTAGAAGTAGGAGGTTATAAACAGACAAAGATGTCACTTTATGATCAAATGTTCACGTCAATGGACGTCCAAGAGTGACGAAGTCATGGAAATATGTTACCCTTCTATCAAATCTATTTTTTTTCCATCTACAGTATATTCAGATAAGAGATAGACCGGACATAAACAAGACCACGTGATCATCGAACGCTGTAACATTTGGCAGGGACGTATTAAGAGTCACGCAGTACATATTTTAGATAGTAGATGCTGCTTTGCGTAACTTTGTAGTAAATTAGCACAATTCGATGTGTATACGATTGGTGATGGATATAGGATCATGTGGGGGTGGGGTAAGAAATATATAATGATGTAAATATACATAAGGGTTTCAAAATTTTCGCTTCGATTTCCAGCTTCGGATGCCGCCTGATGTTTGGTGAAATACAGTCGAATATAATCTCAAAATGGCGTTTAAATTAGCCTAAATTAAAAATAATCGTATATCTCTTAAAATTGCTTTTAGAATATTGATTAGTATATTTTTTGATTTCTAGGTAAATATGTAACCAAATTAAAACGTTCAAAACGTAAAAAAATGTGCATGGTTGAACATTGTCAGAAAGTAGATTCTTGAATAGGTTTTGCCAAAATGGGTTCAAAAATGTCAATAATTAATTAAAAAATACAGTAGCTTTATAATTACTTATAACTTACCGAATTTGATGAACGACATCTTTTATTGGAAAGATGAGCTTGATGAGCTTTCATCATCGCTACTGCCTGAAGCACCAACGTCAATAATGAATGGCTCGACTTGTTCCTCTAAAATATTGTCCAGTTCCCACATTCTCTTTTCAACTTTGTCTTTCACGTGCTTAATACAGTTTTCCCATTTTTGCGCTGTTATTAATTCTAGTGCTTCTTTGAAAAGTCCTTTGAGGTCACAAAATTTAAAAGTTGTATTGTGCTTAGCTATATAATTTTTAACCTCTGCCCATATGAGCTCAATGGGATTGAGCTCGCAATGGTATGGAGGTAAACGGAGCACAGTTTTATTTTGACTTGCTGCCATTTCGTCAATGGCGTATTTTTGATATTCCGCCTTGTGATCCTTGACAATTCTTAATAATTGTACTTTCAGCATTGCTTCTTCAAAGTTGATATTTTTCGAGCGGAGCCAATTTTGAACATCAACTTTCCTTGAAGCCGTTGTTGGGACCTTCTCCATTCTTCGAGAATGATAAGGCGCATTATCCAACACAATTACTGCGTTTTCCTCTAAGTTCGGTAAAATTTTTGAAAACCACTGTTCAAACGATTCGCCATTCATTTCCTCGTGGTAATCTCCAGTTTTCTTAGACTCAAAGCATCACAGACCGTCAACAACAAATCCATCCTCACTGCCAATATGGCAGATAATGAGCCTTTTCCCTTTACCTGGAAATCGAAGTACTAACTGGTGTAGATTTATTTCAATAAGCGAACCTTTTTCAAATGTTTTCATCACATTCAGCGAAAAAACATTGAGACATGAGTATCAGATTGCTATAATTGGGATTATTTAGTCATATTGAAAGAAAGAATATTGAACGTCGTATGATTACTCAGCGCTTCACAATTTAATTTAAAGTTATAAACCTTTAAAAAATGAATGATCAGGAACCTGAAATACGCGCAAATATTAATATTAACAAATTATAACTTTATAAAGCTTAAAGTATGAATTAAAATGATTAGAAATATTAGGAACGGTACACAATATAAAACTTAGTAACTTTTTTTAAGTTTATAATATTCGACATATTTTAAGATTATATTAAAAAATTATTGAAATATCGAAAACACATAAAAACATGGCTTAAAAAAGTTCTAACAAATGAAAATGACAATAAAACATCCACGCATTTTCTCGAAAGTTATAAAAGTTTTGTTACTTGTAATATGTTTTATCTGCCCCCTGGAATTAATGTTTAGAACCTTGTTCCCAAGGTTTGAAAAACATCCGATTGTTGTCTATTACTCGTATTTACCTGCTGGATTTTTTAATCCGGTGGACAGTCCATCTAGAAAGGCCCTCCTGGATGAAGTTACAGAATCATCAACCCATACTTTACTTGTAGTGTGTCCTGCGTTTACCCACGTTTCATCAAGGTAATAAATCTTCCTGTTTTGATTTCTATATTTCCCAATTTTTGTTAAATAATCCCTCCTCCATAGCACAATTTCTTCTCTATCCAGTAGTAAACTATTACGACCCCGTTTTTTCCATTTGAAATTTAAATGCTTCAGTAACGCATGGAAAGTTGATCGTTTGAAATTTGGCAACGTTGTATCTCCATTTACCTCCTGCAGTACTTTATCTATAGTAGGTATTTCATTCCTAAATAAGAATTCATGCACTTTCCTCCTAATCGCATGCTTATCAGCTTCATCCAATGATTTAACAATACTTTTGCGATGTTTACTGGTCATTGGCTCAGAAAAGGTGTGATTTTTTTTGTATTGTCTTAACACATTAAACACTGATGCGCGACACACCCCAACTTTGTGAGAAACCTTCACAACAATTTCTTTGATGGTTGATGCCTCGTTCTCCTCGCGCTCGATCTTATATATATTCAAAATGACCTCTTTCATTTCTGCACTCAGGTGTCTTTTTTTAGAGCGTTTCCTAGGTGGACTACAGGAGTTTACAACTTCATCGGCAGTATCTGTACTACTGGGCATTTTGCGCAAGCAGTTGATAACAATAACAATCAATAACAAGGTATAACAATAACAACGACAAACTCAACAACTTAATAAGATAACAAACGAAAACGTCCAAAGAAATATCAAATTGCAATGATGCACACGACATACGTAACACGTCTGAACCTGAATGTGACTCTGCCTTGATACGACTGCTCTGCCGCTCGGCATAGGCATTTAATTGCGAATTGACCAATGAGGGCTCCTGTTTTACGTCGAGACGGCGGCGTTAGCGTGGAAATCACCCGAACCTTTTGTTTACATCCGATCTATCTCTTATCTGAATATACTGTAATTTTGACAGTTTGACCTCCAACTACTGAAGCGCCGCCTAGTGGAAGCAAAATTGGACAGTTTCGACTCGATTAAACGCTTGCTGACCTTGAAATGAATGTTAAGGTGAAATATAATACTTCATATTACCGTTGTTGCTTCCATCTCAGTGGCTCTTGCTGTCTTTCTTTCACTGCTGTATCATAGTAGCACTGTATTTCTTTTTTTTTATCGTGAAAAAATATCACTGACCATATGAGAGGTCTTTTTAGTTGGATATATGAGAAAAATGGTATCTGAATCTGGCAATATTGACATGCGTAGCGTAAAAAATCGGAATCCGACAGTTACGATTGCAAAATTCGCACGAGGTACTATGGCTCGTCGTGAATGCTGGCTATGAAGCAATGAGGCGACTGCCGTTCTATTGTTATTTGCTTAAATCACTGCAAGTCGAATTTCGCTACCATGTAGAATGCTTTTTGGAATAACTTACGATCGAGTATAGGGATCACAGTTAGCTGCTGGTCTGTGCAACAACTGGCATATGTAGAGGTCCAGTGCTATTTGATCACTGATTCTGATATGCAAACATTATTATTGTATCGCGTAAACAATCCAAACAAATAACACAGACGGCAAAAATCTCAAAGTAGACGCTACACAGTTTGTGCAAGCCGCTACTAGCTAGTTGATTTTACAAAAATAGGAATCTAATAGAATCACTGTTATGTAATCATTGTGTGGACCACTGTTAGCGTGCAAGCTTCAAGCTACCTAACGACCACATTCCCCCATCCCCTTCTTTTCGTTAATTGCGAACTAGTACTGTGAGAAAACCTTTACATGAATAAAATATCCTCTCACCTGATTGGTGGTTAATCTGACGTTCTGGGGCAACCCCGTCACCGTTCTCGCAGGCGACGAGCCAGAATTCCCCACTTTCACCACGCTCTTCTGTACCGCTCCCTTGGCTTGAGCACCATTTAGCTTTGCTTGTTGCGATACGACTGGAATGGTCCGCACTGTTTTCACGGTACTGCCCGTTCTTGGGGCCGTCATTCGTTCGTCCTCGTCCGTTAGGTCGATTACGCCCGGTTGGGACGGTTTCATGGGACTAGCCTGCAAAGAATGATAACGTAATAAAGTTGTTTTACGGTTGATTCATACTTTATCATTTAGCAATCCACAAGTCTGGAGCGGAATCCCTGACAATATGTGATCAAGTAGTACAGAATATCTACTTGTATTGAGGTCTTTGCCTACTGTACCGTATCATCTATAGTATCAAAGATGTATACAAAAACGGTTAGAAGGGGAATACAAATAAACTATACCAATTTAAACGGACTAAATGACGTTCGACCACGTCTTGTTATTTGGCGGTCAGACATTATAATGATTTTTTTCACGTTCACCAGTAGATGCTATAGTATTCTTAAAAGCTTCATTTAGGCATTAGATCTGGAATTCATCTTTTAGCAAGCAAGTTGTTTAAAATCCGTCCTGAGTAAACTACTTCCTAGTAGTGTGCAACATGTTTTGGATAAATAAAGTACCAGTAATTGAGCAGTGGTCTGTAGAATATTACAATGTTAGGCCCGGTAACAGGACAAACACTCGTATACCCTATTTCACGAGTATCCATCACGGTAGATGACAGCTGATTATCTAGTAATATTTCAAAATTCCCTATATCGGCAAAGGACACATAATTCTAAAGGATCCGTTAATGCCAGGTAGACAGAGCCATATTTTGTTTTAGTTTTTTGTACGCTACAGATTCATTTGCTAAAAGCTCTTTTATTCAGAAAAGCTCATATGCATACAAAAAACAAAACGCTGCAAACAAATTTTTACTAGATTTACGCAAGATTCATTATAGCCAACGTTGCAGACTAACACTAAAATATCACCTGCTAATCAGCTGTTTACCTCAGTAGACGTCAAAGCGTGACGGAAGCGTGAAATAGGGTATACCATTATAACAGCATTTAAACCCTATTTTAACCTCATTTGCTCATGTATATGTACCCCGCTAGCCAAAAAGAGCACGAGAAAAGTCAATTATAGTTCATGAACAGTGTTTTTTACTTTCCACGCATCTCAGTGTATTGCAATTGCGAAAATTTCAGAAATCAGATATGTTTTTTGGATGTGTATCACAAAAAAACTGTCTCTTAGTTCGGTAGTCTGCGTGACAGTCAGCTGATCCTTGGCCCCTCTATACGTTCTAAAATACCGCTCAGATTTTGATAAAATTTTGACACAAAATTATTAGTACACCAAGGACGAAAAAGCTTTGCAGTTTGTGGAAATAGAGGCGGTGGCGGCGTAGCCACGGGTAAAAAGCAAAAAAGAGTTCAAACACTCGGAAACACTTTATGAGGAGTAAAACATTGGGGGTGGGGACTTGTATTGTGTTGGGTATATCTCATTTTTTTAACATTAGCATATTTATATGCTTGGAATCCCAGTAAATTATACGCACCTACAAGATTTAAACCATACATAAAAACATATTTACCCTTAAAACTTAGAATGACAGATATTTTCTTAGCAAGTGGGGAATTTGATATTTTTCTGCACGCGACTGCAGTTATCCGGACGACAGCAGTCACATGCGGGAAAGACTATTTTTTCTACCAGCGAATAACAAGAAAAACCACTGTAACAACTTAAGTAGTATACTTTAATAACAAAAAATGCAATCATAATTGAATTTTATTATTAAAAAAGCAATTGCTTGCATTTTGAAGACTTATGGCGGGCGACCAAGTCCTGAGTAGGCCGGTGGTGCCATGTTGTATAATTTCGTCGTTGCTTCATAGCCCTAGTGCTGGTACTTATCTCTCGATTATCAAGTTAAACAAGTATCAAATTCAATCAGCATTCAAAATGTGTCAGCTCCATTTCATTCATGTAAACGATTAAATTCAACACCCGGTGACATTTTAGCTGCCGCGTACCTTGCGGAAAAGTGACACTTTCCAAACTGAAATGCAAATGTATTTTTTTGAGAACATAGAAAGATGACTGTGATGTGTCTTCATTGTAATTTGTTCATTTAATTGCCTAATTTTACTGATTGACCAAGAGAGGTTCTACTTAATATTTCATATCAGTCTTATCATCTGAGTGATAAGGAACAACAAAAATTTTACCTTGTTGGGAGGCTGTTTCATAGGTGAATTGCTATTTAGCACTTTGGGAGAATCCGACATACCAGGAGATTTTCGTACTGCTTTTGCTTTCATAGGTGTAGCTGGATTACTATGTGTTGCAAGTGGCGATCGTTGCGAAGCCGTTTGACTATTAGTCAATGCTTTGCTCAATATGGGGGTTGCTACTGGCGAACCCGCACTACGAACGGGACTGGAAGCAGGAAGAATCTGAAAATAGCAAACATGGGTTTCTAAGGCACAATAAAGATTTGTAATGGATATTACTATGTTTAGCTAAGTCAGTCCATTATGTGTTATGGTACATTGTATTAATAACTGATACTACATTAAAAAACCATGATTAAGGGAAGCGAGTTGTCATGCGAAGATATCAAGAACGACAATATGGTCGGAAGGAGACAGTATAGAAGAGTGACCCTGTCGCGCGCTAAGTCGCTTCCCTTCATTTTATTCAAATTCTGAAAATTTGCAGAAAGATAGCTGATATTTCATTATGAGAGAGAAAACTAGAAAACCATTACGAGATCAGTATGTTGGAAAAATGTTGAGATGACAGCTGATCCCAACACAAACATTCAACATTGTCTAAACATGTAACATTAAGATTAACAACATTCTATCTTTGAAATCTGTTGGCAGTGTTTACATAATCAATCATTCTACTGATTTTATGGAAGTTATTTGGGACATTACTGACAATACTTGTGTAACTACATACATCCCAAAATGGACACAAAATGACGTATGAGAATATGAGCCTCTGTACTGGTCTAATCTTGATGTTTCTAAGCATACTATAAATTCGAGCAGAGGCAATGAAAGAATGCTTACTGTTCTGATAACACTGCTTCCTGGTGGATTTGACTGGACAGTCCTTGCTCGATTGACTACATGCGAGGGGGCTGTCTTTGGTGGAGTGGAACTAGTAGCAACTGTTGAGGTGGATTTCCTTCTAGTAGGTTCCACACCATTACTCAATTTTACTTGCAATCCCACGGATCTTGTAATTTTTAGTGGGACTATTGGTTTTTTGCCGTTATTTTGTATCTTTAACTCATTCATCAGTTTTTTATTTACTATATCCAAGTCTCGAGCCTGTTTGGTGAGTGCCTGCATATCTTTCCGTAGAGTTTCTATCAAATGTTCTTGTTTTTTGACTGTTTGGTGCAGTTCTCCTACTTCAGTCTTGTGTATGATTGCCTCACATATCTTCTGTATACAAAGCTGTTCCAAGTCAGATCGAGTTAATTTATCTTGTAATTTTTTACTCTGCATAAACTTTTGAAATGATAGTAAAGCACTAATTTTCGTTTCAGAAGATCGAACTTCTTTGGATCCCTCAATTGTAATTTCTGTCTGCTTCTTTGATAAATCATCTTCCGACATACATATCCTTTTAACAGGAGTTTCATTTTCCGGTACTGGTGACAAAGACCTTTTTTTCTGCAAACTGGTGTCATCTTTTTTTGCTGTGAAACAAAATACTTTCATGAAGTACATTAGCAACAGATATACAATTTTATGAAAATCAACATCTTCCAACTTCCAGATGATAACACACATCTGAAATATAAGTATACTTATGTCTAAAGTATTTAATTCTAATATAAGGTCCCAGAGCTGCCAGGCAATACCTATATTTTTCAAAGACAAAACTTGGACCATTCAGTAGCTTATGTATGTACTTTCAATGCCTGCTAACTTGGATAGTAATCTGATTTACAGATACCAGGTAGAAAAGGTAAGTAAAACCAAGACTTAATTTCTTATAGCATAGCTGATTTTTATATATACTTTGTCAGACATTATTATTAAGTAATATTCAGCACTGCCAGACATGAAGCATCTAAAAAAATAAATGAACTTCACTTACTTTCTCATACTTAATTTTCATATATGTTATTTATGGGACTATTTTAGAACCACATTTGGTTAGTCAGACAGAGCGTGAGGGCCAAACATCCCGCGAGACGCATAAAAACATTCAACCTGAGTATGAGCGCGAGGGTAGTACGCTTGCGTTCTGGAGCGAGTAAGCTCTATGAATAGATTTGCCCCTCTTAAGGTTAGTCTCAGGCCATATTATCTGCACGGGGCGTACAATGTCTTTGAAATGAAGTTGTAATGACAACATTGAAAAAAACTATGTTTGGACCGATTGGTATATCAACTTGAAGTTTTGCACATCTGCTAACATTATATCCAGTACATAAATTTTTGTGCCAATGGCGTAAAAAATGGGAAATTTTCATCCCTAGAGAAGGCAAAAAGTTACAGCTGGAATGGATTAGTTTGGAACAGTAAAAATAGTTATTAGGTACTCAATAATTTGCATTCATCACAAAAATGTATACTTTCGTTTTCAATAATATTTTAGTTTTAAAGAATTTATTTTGATGTACAATAGGATAGATATTGGAATATATTAACTACTTGTATGTGAAGAACAAATATGATTTCTTCTTCAAAAACTATAACACTTAGCACACATGATTTGAAAAATTCAAAATCATGCATTTTATCAAGTGGAAGAAGCTGATTTTGTCAAATAGATCAATGGATAATGAATGGATATAAATTAATTTCAGTTCTGCTCAGATGTAAGAGATTATGCACCACTTTGTACTCAGGTTAATGGTTAATAATAACTGGGACAGATAATCAGTGAATCTTTGAATAATTATTATTTCATTCAAAACATACTGAAAATTAGCGTATTCGTTTAGCAATTTGTTGAGGTTATCCAAACTTTCTCTTAAATTTTTGTTATTTCCAAACCTGTCTTATACTTGTTTTCTTACAGAGACAGTTCGAGAATTTTGTAACAATAAACTATCTTGATTTTCTTTGAGAATTTTCATATTTTCCATTATTTCATCTAGATCAGATTAAATAATCCACCCTAAACTCTCTTCGATTTTAACATTTCATATTTATCTAAAAGCAAATTATACTCATTTTCAAGTTGTATCATTAATCAATCAATGTTCTGTTTTGCAAAACAAACAATGGGTCCAATAACTTTTTTTGCTTCAAGGTGTCTGGACCACAGGAGGTGTCTGGCAGAGCTGTATAATTATTTTTATTTATTAAGTTATAAAAGAAAAAACAGTACTTACATTTATAGCATAAAATTCAATCCGGGGCTAGTACAGTTATAAAAGCACATAAGTGACTTTGTAATGTTTTCCAAACTACATATAAAAGCCATCCTTCAGAATTCAAGTTTGCCTGATTTTTACTTACTTTTCTCATCTGGTATCGGTAAATCAGACCACTATCCAATAACTCAGATACAAAGTACATGTGAAAGTGAAAATAGCCTAAAAAAATATAAATCAAAACAGCAGCTCTATGTTAGAACTGCAAGTATGATGATACATATGGTTGGAATTTATTATTATTATTAAGTATTACTTCTAATTGTTTACGTTGCCATTTGTGCTGAGTCTTCCTACTACTACCACTCCTAAACACTGAATGCCCCAAGTTTCGTCTTTGAGAAAATGAGTACTGTCTGCCAGCCCTGGGAATTACTTAATACAATAGTTGTTGGCATGGACAATTCTTGCCCCATGATAAAATAACTCAGGCAAATATAAAAATTGATAGTAAAAAAGATATAATAATAAGTGTCAAATATTGTTTTCTCTTTACTGTAACCTCACATTTCAAACAAAATTGTATTTCATGGATATATATGATTTTGTTGTAAAACATTTCTATTGCCTATAAACATAAACACAATCGAATATTTTTATAAAACCTAATATTTGTAAACTTATGTATGCCCCAATAAGAACAAAATCTTTGCAAAAAGTCTAAGTCTAAGTTGCAAGAGCCCGAGTGAAAACTAGGTCCAAGTAACGATAACATGGCCAGGCAAGACAATTACTGGAAAAAACTAGGGCCGAAAATTATAATATAGATATAAACGTTGCTTTTCTCACTTTGCTGACTGATGTTTTGTTTTTTGCTAGTTGTCCCGCTGTCCGTACTGCCGTTGGGTGATCATTCAATAATTGACATTACGAAGTTTAGGCGGGTGATTCAAAAAGGAATTATAGTCAAGGCAGAGCAGACACAAGACGAATAAAAATAGAGAGTTGCCAAACAAAATTTTTGTTGTTGGAATTTATTCTTGGTTATACGTACAATTATTCATGGTGGGAGTATTTATCATCCATCTGCAGTCTACTAAATACATGTTTCATCCAATGTGTAGGTTTCATATTGGAAAATATATATCTAAGTGTATCGGTCAGAGCAATCACAAAAAGTATCAGACATCCTGATATTCCTTTCACATTCAGAGGCTCCATTAAATATTAGTCTCACATTCATATTTGAGCAAATGACATTGTGCTGTGTTGAATGTTTTCTAACAGACTGTAGCACATTTTAGACAAACGGATTTAGGAAATATGCAACAATAAGAAAACTATTTTGCTTGCACGATGGGAGTATCTGCAATTTTCGGACGTATTCAGTTTTTGATAGTACTAAGTGTCATTTTCTCTACTCGTTGGTAAAGATTTTTAGTCAACCAAACAAGTTTTTTTAAATCCTACACTGTTTTGACGTATCTGCAAAAGAGTCATGTTTTACAAATTATATGCTTTTAGTAATTAAACAGTTGCCACCATTTTGCTCTAATATGTTGACTAGTAATGTTAATATTTATTTAATCAATAATATTAAGTTGTTTTTAATTGGTTGTATCTGCTTAATTAAGCGGTTGACATTGTATTTTCAAGAAATTCAACACTCCCCATGCAAAGAAAATAGTTACGATGTCTGCGAATTTGAAATAATCGTTTCTGGCTATTCGGAAAGCGTAGGATCAAACTTCGTACGCTTTTTTCTCGGTTCCTAGTTGACAGCAGATATTTTTCACGAGTATCAATTACGGTATAGCTGTTTATCTAGTAATAATTCAATATCAATAATTTCCCATATCGACAAATAATACATAATTCTGGCGGATCCGTCAACGCCAGTAGACTGTACCGTATTTTGTTTTTTTTGTACGCTACAGATTCATTTTGTACTTGTTAATAACTATTTTGTTTAGATAATATTATTTGCATACAAACAAAAAACGCTACAAGCAAGGTTTACTAGATTTACACCCGAATCATTATTTCCACCGTTACAGACTGATAGAAAGATATCACTTGCTGATCAACTGTTCACCTCCGTAGACGTCAAAACGTGATGGATACTCGTCAAATAGGGTTTGCTTAGTACGGCATCATGGCAGTTTCTAAATAAGTTCCGTTAGTTTGGCTACACTGCAAAACGCTTCCTCTGCAGATGCCAAGTCTTCGTAAGCGAACGACCAAACCACCTCACACGGCGACAGAGAAACTTTTGTCGTAGTTTTAGATATGGAATATATATTTTTAAAAAAACATTACTACTGCAAAAGACTGCTGTAAAATAAGCTGAATTGAAAACATTTTCTCACCTTCAGTAACTGCCGCTGCAACATCAAAAACAGGGATTGAAGGGCTAACTACCGATGGCTCAGGATCAACACCAACTTTTTCAGTTTCTGGAGTGAGTGTGGTATCCACATCTGCCTCTAGGTCGCTTACAGTCTGTTTTTCTTCTCCCTCTGTATGATTGACAGATAACCTTTGGCTCAAAGGAATATCCTCCTCACTCAATGGTGTCTCTGTCCTCTCCTTAAAAGCAAAGCTCAGTTCAGTTTTTCTCAACTCTAACACAATCAGTCGTAAGAGAATTGTGTGTGAAGTATGGCGGAAGTGTAGTTTTCAATGCTAAATGACAGAATTAAATATATTTACTCAACTCGACTAACTTCCAATAATCTAGCTGTCTTTTAAGCATATGAAATATTTTAAAGCCAGTTTTCTGCAAATGTTTTTTTATAAGTTCATACAGGATTCAGCTAATAGTTAATATGCTTATATTATGACAGCACGTATTCATATTTGGAAAGACCATTTTCAGACGAAGCTCACACAGTTAGTTATCAGCAACAAGTATACATACGTAAGTGGTTTTAAAAAATATGGGCAAACAAAAGGTACTCAAGACATATCACATATTCGTGTATAATTCTTTGGAGAGTAAAATGATAAGTCGCTTTTCTCGTGTATGCGATTTTTCTTCTCACTGACAATTTGTTTTTTTTATTTAGTACAGGTGGAAATTTGGAAAAAGATTTATTCGATTCACATTCTGAGGAACAGAACCAGTCTTTTGAATCGCGCCCTCAATACTGTTTCTGTCTTTTAACTAGGTCTATATAACATAAAGTTGTCTAATAGCCAAACGAAGATACTAAAATATGCCTTTGTTGAGAGTTTTAGATGCCTACGATAATGAATTGCAACATAACGGAGCTGCTACTATCATTTGATTAACAAAAAATATCTGAATTTTAACATATTACCAAATTCGATCAAATGACATGATAACTATTTAGCAGCAACCAAATGTCGCAAGAAATAATGCTGCTGCCCATTGAGGATTAATTAACACTTGACGCAACATTTGGATGATATTAACATATGTTAACTATGTGTGTAAAAGGTACAAGATTGATTTTCACTAACGGCTTGCCTACACCAAAGTCATGTGAATAGCGGAGAATATAAACTAATGTCTGTCTATATCTACCTTATTGTCAAGCGACTCCTCTGCAGCGTCGATCTTGAGTGCGTCGCTATCGCAAGTGTCCTCCATCACCGAATCGCACACGTTCGTGGCATCCTCCTCATACTCCTCCTCAAAGTCCATGGGCTCATCCTTATCAGCATCTTGATCCAGTTCACTATCCTCCACTTCATCGGTCTTGTCGTCCTCTTGGTCCAGCTCGTCGTTGTCCGACTTCTCACTGGACTGCGCATCAGCAGCTTGTTCTGCAATCGCAGTCGCATTGTCTTCATCTACGTCACGGATGACCGAGATGTCCAACAAGTTGTCACTTGAACTATCCTCCTTTGTTTCTGCTTCACTCTTTTCATCTTCTGGAGCAGCATCACACTCTTTCTGTGAAGGTTCGTCCTTGGCGCTTGGTGTCTCAATTGCTTCATTGTTATCACTAATTCTAGTAATTTTACTAGCTTCTTTAGATTCCTTACAGGAATCTTCAGTCTTATCAACATCAGTACTATTATTTTCTTCATCTAAAGCTTTAGATATATCCGTACCTTGCTCATTTTCGGTAGTTTTCTTTGATACCGTATCGTGAGATAATTCTGGCTGAAGACCCGTTTCAGAATCACCTTGCATACTATTTGTTATTTTTTGAGAATTTTCAGAAGCTTTCCTATCGGTTGATTCAGTATGAGTAGTACCTTCGGCATCTCTGACTACATCACGCTCGTGCAATGGATCCTTCTCAAGATGAGCTTCAGGTACTTCTGTCTGATGATCACCTTCTGCCTCATTTACCAAGTCATTTCCAGTCACACAGCTATCTGCTTCTTGTACACTTTCAACTGCAACCTCGACAGAAATGCCGTCAGATAAATCATTATGAGAAACCTCTTCGGAATATTTTACCCTTTTAATCTCACCTAATGCTCCACTGCTTTCACTCTCTTGCTCCATTTCAGCAGCATCATCAATCGCTTCTTCTGTATCATCTACCTCCATTAAGTGAACCTTATCGACGACTGCCTTTTGTTTGGACTCCTCCTCTACGATTTCCTTGCCAGCTTCAGTTACCATGGCGTCCGATTCATTACTCAAATTACCACCATTTTCCGTTCTCTCTAAAACGCCATCCAATCCTTCAGAAGCTTCATTCAATTCATCAACACCTTCAACATGATCATCAGACGCTTCAGATGCATCAAGTTTCCCATGTTGCTCTTCAGAGACCTTTTTCGCACCTATACCGTCCGTAATGTCATTTTTAATCAAAAGGTCATCATCCTCATCCATTTTCTTATTAATAGTGTCTACAAGGTCTTTTAGAGATGCTTCTTCATCATCTAAATTTGAGATTTCGTTTACCTGCGTCTGGCATCGCAGCTCACCTTGACTGAGCAAGCTCTCCAGTTGCTCTTCTTCCTCGAGCTTATCCGTTGTGTCTCCGGTTTCACTTTCATTATTTATTTCACTGCATTCGTTAAAATTTTGCTTATCTGCTGGCTGATTATCAGTAGTGTCACTCAGTTCGTTAGGTACATTACTGATTTCATCACCATCTTGATTTTCAATTTCGCCCCCAGTTTTCATATTTCCTTTTGTGGTAGCCAGTTCACCATCGAGGTGCTCGCTGTCTTTACTGAGTATTTCAGTGTTTAGTGAGACGTCACCTTCAGCCGTTTTATTAACAACTGGCTGCTCATTATCTTCAGTGGGTAATTCACAGGTATCGTGGTTCAGTTGGTCACAGTTCTCTGACAAGGCATCACTCGGTAAACCAGAATTTTCCGTCAATGCTTCATTATTTAAGTCTTCACTTTGTTCCACCGGTGTTTCACCTTCTGTATTTGTTACATTATCTTGATTCTCATTCGAGTCTTCCATACTATGTAAACCATTCTCACTTACATTTTCTCGTTCACCATTAGCGACAGCTTCGTCTGTCATTCTCATATCTACACATCCATTTGTACTATCCTGATGCTCTGCTGTTTCTTCTATCGATTCGAGGTTTGAATCAGCTGCCCGTGCTTTAGAAGTACCAGCTTCGAATTTATTCAGTATATCATCTTCAGATTCTGCGTGTTGCGAGTTGCTTTTATCTAATTGTAAATCTTCATCACAGTCTAACAAAGGAAGGTGAAAGCTTTCTTCATCTGAATCTTTCTCATCATCTCGGGAACCCTTGAACGTGTCGAAGAGCAAGGTACTGGGGAGTGTGGCCAACACTGTGGCTTGGTTTTCGGAGGCTTTCATAGAAGCCATTATTTATGAAACCTGAAACAAAAGAAAATCACCTGACAACTAAGTGGAAATAAATATCCTGGAGCAATGGTTATTTAGTAAATGTCAGTTACAAGCTTGAATAGGTTATTTAACAACTAATGCATACAAGTCAAGATTTAGTCAAATACCTTATGGGTGCCCTAGTTAGAAGAAAACGCTTTATATCAGTGCATGAGCGAACAAAATTCTCGCACAAAAGCTGCGGATACGCGTTTATCATGATTCCTGCAGATATTTTTAATCAAGATGTCAATCACTTAAAACATGTGAACAAGTGTTTCACTATAACAAATGTTCTAGAGAAAAGTATTTCTTTGTCAAATAATCTTTTTCTATATTACCGATTTCTGTTGAGTTACAAAACAAACTGATTTAAATTAATTTTTTCGTCGGTAGAACAACATGTTCCTCGCCAGCTCTCTATTTCAAGTTGCCTTTTCTCCACATGACCAATGTCATGTATCTAAAGGAATGGAAACTGCAACCAGCCTTCACTGATATTTTCAGAAGACAAAGGAATGTATGTAACCAATCCATTACTCAAAAGGGTGTAAAGCACAAAGTAGGTTTTCAAAAAAAATTCCTTCAAAACGGGCAAATCAAGATTGTACCGCTTGTTTTTAATATTATCGTACAACGTAACATATAACAGACTCCTTATATCTATTCACATTTCAAGCAACAGGAGCGCTCAAATTTATGTTCATATATGGAATATATGTAATTTTGCTCATCTACATGTATTACTTTAATGAAGTTAATGAACATAACAACGGAATACATTAACTAAATATCATACAGAGGTGTGCATGCATTATACGGAAATGACAAATTGACTAGCTAAAATATTCAGAGAAATTGTAAAACCCTCGCAGTGTCACGGAATTACAAAATTAAGGGCAAAAACAGCTTTCAGAGAGAATGAACTTACCGATTTAAGGCACACAAAATGTCAAACTTGACAGTTCTGACATACGTCTAATCTACCATCAAATTGCTTTAATTCAAGGTCGCAAAACTCTTCAAAAATATTCAGGAAAAAGTCCACTAATCCTTGGATCGTCCATAACTTGAGAACGGCTCTAGTTTTGATGAAATTTTTACGCAATGTTACTACTTTGCCAAGGTCGAAAAAGATTTGTGAAAATCGTTCGAGTCGGTCATTTTTGAAGAAAAAAAAATAGGGGTAAAAAAATTGGGGGGTGGAGAATTGCAGAGGGGAGGGGAAGGATGTATTGCAATTTTTCGATGCTAGCACATTAATGCACTTTTAACTCCGGTAATTCTACGCACATATGGGACATATTTCAGACATCGTAGATTTCGCCCAACAAACTAAGAAAAATATTTTCAGCAGATAAATCACGTACCTATAGGTCGCGCCGTGATTATAAATAATAATTCAACTTTACTATGGGATTCGAGGGACAAAAGCAAGTAGAAGAGTGATGGCGTGGCGCGGTGATACCTCGTATGTGCATCCTGGGCGCGAGATTATCTAATAGTGTAATTTAATGATGTTACTGCATTTCGGGAGGTAATAATATTATGTATAGTATACAGGGTGATTCACAAGTCGTGACCAAAAATGAAACATCATCCACAGGAGCGCATATTAAGGGGGGGTCTTCTATGTGACATTTTTTGCTCGAGGGATTCATCAAAAAGATACGGGGTGTTGAAGTTTAAAAATAAAAAAACACTTTCTTTTAATATATTCAAAACCGTTAACTGGAATGAACTAAAATTTGGTAAATGGATTTACCTAAGTATTGTCCACATTTAAAAGTATTTACTTAAAATTAAAGTGCACCAGCGGCGGAGAAATAGGGGATTAGTGGCATATTATTTTTTCAAATAAAAATAGTACGCCACTGTTTTTTTCGAAACGCGCAATTTGTGGAATTTTACCTTCAATTTGCTACAAATAATTATTCTTGTTTTTTTCCTAGAGTGCACTGTTTTCGTAAAAATAAAAATAAAACAAATTAGATCATTCATGAAGAGCCGAGATACAATTAGTTTCAAAATAAAATAAGAGGCATTGATACCAACTTGACGTTTCTTGGGAGATAGTTTGTCAAAGTTATATGTTATAAGGTTGTTATCGTTAGTAGGTACTACCATTTTTTTAAGTCGTCAAACATTTTTTTGTCCTTTTCTGCGTGTTCTGAAAAGGAATTTAGCAATGATGAGTACGCCGATATCATTTTTGTGTACAGGTTGTGTAATGAAAATGCTTCTCGGAAGTATCAACGTAGATTTCCTAATAGACGCCAACCTACACCAAAGGTCTTTACGCGTTCCTGTCTAAGACTTCGGCAATATGGAATTGCCAAACTTCCCGGAGTTAGATGCCATGGTGTCCAGCATACTGTTCAAGAGGAAATGAAGGTAATTAATTTGGCGTTGGATGATCCTAGTACAAGTACTAGGCGGATTGCAGTCCAGTTACCATGTTCCCAAAGTCTTGCGCGGATAATTTTGAATCGGGAAGTTTTACTTCCTTACTATAGGCAACCCGGCGAAGAAGTGCAACGGCGATATTTTTGTGAGTGGTTACTGCAAATGCATAATCAAAATGCAGATTTTATTGATTTGGTTTTGTGTTTAGATGAATCGCTTTTTACGAGGAGTGGAACCTTTAATTCTCATAATGGACAGATTTGGTCGTTAGAAAATCCCCGTTCTGTAAGAATCCACTCGTTTCAGCACAGATTTTCTAGAAATGTCTGATGCGGAATGGCCAATTGTTTATCTACGTATTGCCACAATGTTTAAATGCAAACTCATATTTTGCTTTCCTGAAGAATTACATAGAAAATGTGTAAGATGATGCTCCGTTAGCAACGAGACTACGATTGTGGTATCTGCACGACGGTGCCCCACCGCATGTTCGTCGTGACATAACCGCATGGTTAAATAATCATTTTAGACAACGATGGATTGGCAGAAACGGACTCATTGGCCTGCGGGGTCTCCTGATTTGAACCTCCTGGATTTCTTTTTGTGCGCGCTTTTAAACAACTAGTCACTAGTGTATGCTGAACAAATTAATACTGTTAATCAGTTACAAGAAATAATAGATAATGCGATTCATCAAATTCAAGCCACAACAAATTTTGCGGAAATACGTTTTTCTTTATTTAAAAAGATGCCGTTAATTTGTTTTTCTATTAGGTAGGTTGGCGTCTGTTACGAAATTTATGTTGATACTCCCAAGAAGCCGCTGATGCATTTTCATTATAGAACCCGTACACAAAAATAATATCGGCATACTCATCATTGCTAAATTCTATTTCACAATACTCAAAAATGGAAAAAAGAAACTTTTGACTTGACTTTTACAAAAAAAAGGAGTACCTAGTAACGATAACAACCGCATATCACATAACATTGACAAACTATCTCCCAAAAAACGTCAAGTTGGTATCAAGGCCTAATATTTTATTTTGAAATTAATTGTATCTCGCCTTTTCATGAATGATGTAATTTTTATTTTCACGAAAACAGTGCAGTCTAGGAAGGAAACAAGAGTAATTATTTGTAGCAAATTGAAGGTAAAACTCTAAAAATTGCGCGTTACGAAAAAAAAAAACAGTGGCGTACTATTTTTATGTATTTAGAAAAATAATGCCACCAATCCCCTTTATCTCCGCCACTGATGCACATTAATTTTAAGTAAATACTTTTGGATGTGGACAATACTCGTACTTAGGTAAATCCACTTTTTAGTTCATTCCAATTGACGGTTTTTATGTTTAAACTCCAATACCCCTCAAGGAAAAAATGTTATATAGGAGAAAAATGCGGTCCTGTGTATGATGTTTCATTTTTGGTCACGACTTTGAATCACCCTGTATAAAGCACATAAATACGTATCAAGGGCTATTCTGATCAGTTAAACATTGTTGACAAACAGTTTCACACCAGAGCTCCAAAGAAATGAGGCTACTGTGTACGGACACTCTCAATTCTTCAATCTGAGGAATTATTTTTTCATGAAAAGCTCAAACTACTAACGGACATGGCAAAATCTATATCTTTTTGATGTTATTGCACTACATGGAAAGTTGTACTAGAAATTGTTTCATAAGCTTGGGAGGTATAGAGTTAGTCTATTTGTCGCCACTTTTTTCCTGAAAAATGAAGTGGAATATGAAGGGATACTAAGGGACAAACAGTTGTATCATTAGCTGCTTAATAAAATAAAGTCGATGGCGTATATTTTTGTAAATATTATCTTCTAGTCAGTGTTAAATTAGCGTCTTATTGCCATGAACATTTCCAAAATTCAACAAATGCACAAAGATCTTCGAGATATTAATAAAAAGCAAAATTTTTATAAAACTGGAATCCAGTCGTTCATATAAACATGTTTATATGAACTTTTCGACCTAAATTTGTTTGAAGAAAGCGCATTTATAATTGATTATTATTAAGTAAAATCCTATATATTTTCGTTAACGTTTAATTTCACTGGCATTTGAGCTTTATACAGCTTGAGAGCACTGGGCAAACTACGAGTATCAATGCAATTGTTAATTTCTTCACGAAGTAATAATGAAACAATACTAATTAGTATATCCTATCGTACTCTGCTGACGTCTAACTTTGGGACAATGGCAATATGCTATTATCATACAGGGTGACTTTGAAGTTGAGTCATTAATTTTCAGATAATGATTGTAGAAGGAAGATAAACCAAAATATGTGTGTAAAAATAAAAAAAAATGTTTACCTTGTTTTATAAAGTATCCTCCCGACAAGTATTTCAGTGCGGGCCTGTATTTGATCGTGAGGTCCCCTGTGAGGTCTTAAGTCACCTGATTCACGAGCCCGTTGTACTACATTAACAAAGGCACGAGGGGTTGGTTGCACTCGATTGGGAAACCGATCCGCATAAACATGTGCCATTTTTTATTTCGTTTGAGCCACGCAACAGACACTATTCACACGCGTTACCGACTGACACTAACTGTATGTATAAC